CTCTGACCATGGCTGGCCGAGTTAAAAATTACCGCGTGATTGACAGACAGAAGCACGTGTTGCTACCGCAGCGCCCTCTGGCGATCGATCGATGAGACGATCGATGAGAATAGTTACACGATCGACGAAAACAGTTTGACGATCGACAAGATTAGTTACACGATCGACGAAAATAGTGACAGCATTGGTTTTAATACACCATAGATGAGAAATGTTTGACAATTGAATTGACGAAAGTAGATGTTGAATTTATGACAGGATCGTTTAAACTTGAAACTGAATCGATGGGAAGGCAGTGAATCGACGAAACATAACTGAATCGACGACATGAATTTTTGCCCTTTTGGCCGCCCATAGGTTCATCTTCAAATTTATGTTCATGGATGTATATTATTAGTTTCTTTGATTTTTCCATTTCAGTTAAAAAAACATCTAGAAACTGCATATCCAGTAAAATCCAGAATTCCTGCCTGGGTTAATGAACAGTTGCACAATTTTGAGGTAAAACATGTATTGCAGAGTATTTACCATTTCATTAGATTTGTAGTAATAGCGTTCTATTTCTTTGTTTTAAGGGGACCATGCTTTTTCTGTCCAAGTATGAAAGTTATAAAAATGGTTGTTATTAGTGGATGGAGTCCAAAGGAGTCATGAATAGGGATATAGGTGAAATCTTTTTAGCATATAGCATAAATTTCAGTCATAAATTTAGGTTGTGAAAGGTAATTTAAGGTTTTGTTCTCTTTTGTGTGCATATTAATATACATATTTGTGTGTGTGTTTAGGTGGACTTCACAGCCCAGCACTTGCTGTCTGCCCATGAGGAAGCAATCCAGATGTGTAGAGAAAAGAACCTCACACAAGCATTGTACTTCTTACAGAGGGACTTCAACTTTATCAAAGATGTGAGACACCATTTTGGATTTCATTGCTCTTTTCAAAAGCTCACTCTTCTGTAATCAGCATGTGCTACCCATTTGGCAGTTACAGTTTAAATGCTTGATAGAGGGGAAATCACTATCACTGCTAAAATTGAGGGTGGCTAGCCTAGGCTATAGGATGTTTCCAAAATATCACAACTTAATTTCAAATGTAATTTATAAATTTTGATGACGTGATAAAAGTGTTTAAGAAAGTCTTTGACACAGTATGCATAAGATGGTAGCATTAAACAATAACACAATATGATGATCCTCATTTATTGATTCAAATGTATAATCCTCTACTTGTGCTCAAGCACAGATATTTGAGATCATGCTCACTCATTCCAGAGAGAAACAGTCCTAAGGAAGGAACTGAGCAAGGTGAAGTACCCAACCAGGGAGTTCCATTTCTCCACCAGAATATGGTTGCCTCAGAACTGGATAGTAAAGCAGCACTTGTATGGAGAGTCTGAAGTTATTCCTACAGTGATTACTGATGTGGTGGCAACTAATATACAACCTGCAACTGGTGCTGATGTGGTAAATTTATGTCAAATTTGGCCTCAGGCACTTAAAGAAATGTTTATTTTTTTCTGTTATTATTTGAGAATGTGTAGAGGTTTGTTTAGGTTGACCATTTTCTTTGCATGTTCAAGTACTTTTCCATATCAAGTAGTTATTATGTTTTCCAGTTATTCAGGTTAACAAAGAGGTTGTTCACCACGTTTTTTTTTATTGAAATGCTGTCCATTCTCTTGGACAGTAATTAATTTTTTATTTTTCAATAAAATGTTGTGTGAATTATATATTTTAGCCCTCCTACTCTCTGGAACAGTACACACGCAGAAAGACAACAACTAGGATCCCATTCTGGAGATGGTGGAACTACCTGAATAGAACTTGGGCCTGGATGTGGAATGCAATGTTTGTCTGCTCTGTAAGGATAAATCATTACCTGTGTACATTGATTTAATTGGCCACTATTCTCTTTAGTATATCATAGAAGTATTATCTGTGACAAAATATTGTGATATATGTTTAAGTGGAAGAGAGTGAAATAACATTTTGTGAAAAAATGAAAATATATTATGTATAGTAGTCAACAGATGTTATATGTATTTTGTGAATCAAAATTATAAAAAAGTAATCTGGTCCATTATTTGACTGTGAACTTCCAGGTGGCCATTCCATGGTACAGTCCTCTAAGCCTGCGTGCCTTGTTTGTACTCTCACCATTTTATGCCAACCTGGAACTAAACAGAAGCAATGTGAGCTGAATAGATTTTTTAATACACAAATTTCAAGTCTTTTTAAGAATTAAGTTATATTGGTTACTTATATTTTGTTGTAAAGACTTATCAAGTTTATAATTGTCTTTATAATAATTTTTTGCCTGGTGACAAGAATTTTAAGAAAGACCTCATGTGTTTAATTAAAAAAAAAAGGTATGTTTATCACAGTGAAAGCCAAAAAAGAAATGCCCAGTTTTCAGAAATAATCTAAATGTTCATTTTGATATCAGGGTACTATAGGTCCTGCTGAGTCATCCATGACACAGACCTTGGCCTCCAGACTGGGGAGCTTGTGGCAACATGTTGCTAAGTCACGGAGACAGTTTGAGGCAGAGCCAGACAGAGGTAATGTAGGAAAATTTTCTAAATAAAAACTTTTATAAAATTTTTTTATTTATTTGGACATTGCATGCTCAGTGCCCCCATTTGAAATATAAATATATATTAATTATGGCTGAAAGCAATTTGCTAAGAAGTACAGTTTGAAGACACAGTAACAAAATTATGTTTATTATCAGCCCTATTCCATGCAAAGAAAAAAAAATGAATACAGAATGTTAATTTTGACATTTGAATCTTTGCATAAAAGAGATTAAAAGAAAATAGTAGGTACTAAACAAGATGATTTCTTTATTCCAGGATTCTTAGGCAAAAGTTTCACACGTCATTTGAATCGGTTCTGGAACTATGTACTTAAAGGTGCCATAGGAACATTTGGTCTCTGTCTCTTCTTCCCTCCTCTGTGCCTTATAGTGTCTTTGCTGTCATTTGTGGCTGGGGTAACTACACCACTATGGTAAGTCTTCTGATAAAACAACTTATAATGTGCATTGACATGTAATTTTCAACATTAGGAGCATATTGTATGTATATTTCATATGAGAAGAATTTACCTGCCTTCAAATGTGCTGAGATCTTTATTTTGAATTCTATTAAAATTGGGGAGAAAAAGTTAGTCATGAAATATGTTTTTGATGTGTGTGATATACAATTCAGTTGGAATTATTTCTTTGTCTTAGGATGCCTGTGGGGACCTTGATGGTACACATTGCCTCCTTTCTGTTCTTTGACTTCGACAGACCTGGTGGGTTGGCACATTTTCTGGTGGAGTTCATTTGGAAATTTGCTTTGAGTGCTGCTTCTGGTGGCTTTATATGATCTAAATGAAATAAAAATGGTTTAGGCATAAAAAATTGTGGATTAATATATTTTTCTTTGACAAATAAACAGTTGTTATGCATCTTTTTACAGACACAGAACACAATGCAGTCATGATCCTAATGGAGGCTCTGATTTGGAGGATACTCATCCTAGGATGTTTGCAACCTGTTGCAGCATTCTTCTCTGGAACAATTCTGTTTCCACTTGGAGCCTTTTTCATTATGCTAGGTATGCCAGTACATTTCATGGCACAACAGTGTTTTTGTAATCTTAAAAGATAAAAAACTACTTCAAGATGTGATAATGTTTATATCAGCTCTTTATCAAAACAGTTATTCTTGACAATTTTTGTCAGCAATTTTTTTAAACAAAACCCTTAAATAATTGGTATAATAGTTGACATTGTTGCCCCCACATCACTGCCATGCACACATGCATGCTTGCACGCACACACACAAAGACACACCATTTCAGATTGCTTTCACATTTCAAAAAGAATAATCCTAGGTACATTCTTTCTCATCAGGTGGTTTGGTGCGCCGTGGAGGCCGTGGGGTTTGGGACACCTTGATGTACCATCTGGTGATCAAAAAGAGAGGGAGAGTACCAGCACATGATGGCTTTGTGGCCAAGAGAACAGCTGGGCCAGGACTGGCATCGAATTATTTTTTCCAAGTAGGCTCATTTTTTAATATGTCATCAGTTACATGTTGAAAGGTTATGGTGGTGTGGTTTTCTTAGTTTGAAATAAATGATTAAATGAAAGAGATGTTCTACTCAAAATATGATCTGATTTGAAGATTTGTGAATAATTTGAACCAAAATGCATGTGCAGTGGTGATATTTTCAGATTAGACCAGAGCAGGCCCTGGCAGCCTTGGAGTCAGAGATGGAAAGACATGAATTAGAAGCATGGCAGGAAAACATTCTGAAAACAATAGAAAAGCCACTGGATGAATACAGGTGAGAGAAAATAATACTGATTGATCCCTGTGCTGTAGTTGTTGGTAAAATTTACAGTTACACCGGGAATTTGGGTATATCTTATGTCTAATTGTGTCATTCTAATATTTATCAGACTTCCTTTGCTATATTGTAGGGCATGAGATGCTTTTTCACTGAGATTTATTTGTTCACTACATAGGATATATCTTAAACAATTATTATTGTTCAATTTTTGTATTTATTTTTAACTTTTTGTATTGGTGTCACCAGATTTCGTCTGTGTGGCTGGACCTTTTTGCTGTGCACATTTCATATTTTTCTTCATGGAGCTAATACATTATACTTGCAGGGCTTTCACCAGCAAAGTGTTCCAGCCGTTCAGTGCAGGTTTGGTACGAGAAGGAGCCTTTAAAACACTGTCTTCAGAAGTGGAGGACTTGAAAAGACAACTGTCTCAGAAGGTTGAAGAGTAAGTTTCATTATCTGATCACCAATAAGGTATAAGTGAGATATGAACTATAAATATAACATTTATAGTAGGATTAAAGTCCAACCAGAAAACAATTTTTTTTCACAATTGACCATCTTAGTTATTTTAGATACAGTGTGGTTTGTTGGACATTTTTTATTATTACTTTTTTATTGTAGAAGGAAAAAGATACTTAGAACTGGCTTGACATCAGATTTACAGCAGAGGATTAAACTTACTGATAGAGATTTAAAGGTATGGAATACTTTGCTGCAAGGGGAATATATGTTGAGATAAGTATTGACTAAAGGAATGATTTCTTATTATGCTGGTTGGGGAAACTGGCAGCATGTAACTATAGCAGTGTTTTTTTTTTTTTTTTTTTGCTATCGAATTTTATATATATGTCTGGTGAAAATTCATGTTCCGTTTTGTAAACAGGTGCATTTCTTTTGCTTTGCTGATTTTCAGTTGACACTTTCTCAAGCAGCTAAGCTAGTGGAGAATTTTTACCCCAGTCATGTGATTAATAAACTCCGCCAGCCAGAGGACTGGTTCTGGGAGAAGAGGCAGCTAGTTCCTGGAGACTTTATAGGTCTGTTTTTATTAATATCTCACAAAAGGACAGAATTTTGAAGATGTAAATGGTTATGTTTTTCCAGTTACGTTGTTCAGATTACCGATTAATGTAATAAGTATGGTAAAAAAATGACTTGTACTGTATGATTTTGAGGTCAGCAATCTGAGACTATTTTTATTATGAATTGTTCTACTTTGATCTATAAATAAGTGTAGAATAGATATGAAGTTTGGTTTGTGAGAATTTTTTTCTGTTTTAAATTTCTTTTAATAATGATTCTGAAACATAAACAGGATGTTTATGGTAGACTGATTAAAAAATACATCATGATACTGTTTTAAAGGTGCCTTGTACCAACATGAATTATTTTTAAAATTCAATGTTGTAGGACTTGCCTGTTTACTTCTGAAAGAAATATTCTCTCCTGAGTTTCTTGTGGCTCTAGAAGAAACAGATAATATCTTCAAGCTTAAGGTGAGTTTTCTGATTTGTAACTTGTAAATTTCTTATTGCAATATTGTAACCAATTTTGTCTTCACAGTTATGCAATATAATTATGATCAATTTTTGTTGTTGAGATTACTGTTTAGTTGTCAGTAATTCAAATATTATTATTATTGCATATTTTTATATGACTCCAGATAGCACATCTGAACTTGGCACGCTATGCGTCGATGCTGGGAACAGCAGAAATAAGGGATGATTTGGAGGTGGTAATTCCTGTACATTTACCCAAAGGTAAATCCCCTTTTCTTTGTTTTATTTAAGCGGAGAACACTTGTTAGAATAGTTATAATGTTTAAAGAATAAAGGAGAGACTGAAACAGCAATATTGCTTGGAAAACTGTATATTTGTTTTTGATAGCACCATCGTTTTGTATACCAATCGAGATAAAAGAGAATAAATGCTTTTAAGAAAAAATTTGTACCAACATGAAATATCCTCAACTTAAGACATATTTTTCTGCCTACCTACAGGGGAGATTAATGTGGAAGCACCTACTTTAGACATAGTTACCTTTGACCCCAATGCATATGGAGAAAATTACAGTACCTTTGTGGACAATAGGTAATGGGTGGCTATATTCTTTTATAGTGCATACTGTTGAAGTAGATTTACAGAATTGAAAGTAACATGATTATAACTTTGTTTCAGGTAATAATCACAAACTGTTATTTCTTAACTTGTCCAGATAAATCTTAATCAGACATTTACATTAGTTGATTCATTAATATTTTACAAAAATAAAGTTTACAGTAAGCACTTTCATTATGTTAGTTGACGATTTTCTCTACAGGCGCTGGAGAAGGAAGCCATGGAAGAGAGCCCCTGTTGCCCATGGCAGTGGACAGAAACTGGAGATTCCTCTCCCTGTACCACACCCAGCCAATATTGCCATTATGATATACAACAGGTAAGTAATACACATGACTAGAACTCCACCTCTTTGTTCTGTCAGTATTGTCCTATATAGAACAGGTAAGTAACTCATAAACTAGATATCCCCCTTCCCTTAAAGCCTGCTTTTCAACTTTTTTCATTGTGATATATAACGGGTAAGTTATGAGTGATCAGAAGGTATCCTCTCCTCTCCCAGCATAAACTGATTACTATTATTATATACTTTATACAACATACCATAAAACTGATCTCTTTGTGTCTGTTCTTTACCAACCATTATATTTTCAGTATGTTCTTAACAAGTTAAAAGTGTGGACATTTCGGGTTGACCATTTCCTGTATTAATGTCCACTTTATATCTTTCGTGCTTTTCTTGAGTTTGCCCCACATTGTAGTGTTTGATCATTGTATTTCACACAAGTCAGAATACCAGAATTTAATGAAAATTTATATAAAATATAAAATGTACTGTTTGAAGAAATATTAATAACTCTTACAGTTCAGTTATAATATGATATAATGGAAAAATCTGAGAAATAAGAGTTAAAGATAATACTAGTCATTGTTATCATTCAATCAAGTAGATATGTTTGGCTTCAGACTTGAATGTTGGATTTTCAAAATATGATAATTGTTTTGAAATAAGTAAGGAATTTTGATGATTTATGGCTTTGTGTTCCTTTACCTTTTAAAAGTAGATGTTGTAATTTTGTCTGCATTTTTCAATAGTGTTCCATAGTCAATGTATGTCTTTAAATTTTTCACCTTTGTGTGTGCCTATGCTTTGTACTTGTGTGTAAGAAACTATGGAGATCTCCAAATCATAGTGGCTCAGTAAAAGTTTTCAGTTATGGTTATCTAGGCCACTTTTATAACAACTGCCCATATTGTTTACCAATCAGTTGCCCAGGCTTACTTGCTTAGAATATCTGCCATTATAACTCATATCCTGTTCCTCGCCTTTGTATTTTTTGTGCATGTTTAGCTTGTTTGTACACTGCTTTGATTATCCCGACACTTGTACCATAATAGTGTGATATGTCACTGTCTGGCGTAGCTAACATATGAGGGCAGGACAATTTGTTACTTTCTGCAAGTCAAAGGCCAGCTAGTGCTTCTTCACTCTGGCTAGCTTCTGTATCTTTGGCTCCTAATTCAGTATTATAACCAAATGCAATTATACCCAGATTATGCAAAGCAAAAACAGGAAAAGATATCTCAATCCTGAGTGGTGCACAAACTTCAGGATGTTTTATTTCTGTATAGGATGCATGGTAGCAGCCTGTGTGTGCCAAGAGAGGTTATGTGGCCCATGAAACAGAAGAGAGAGTGATGGAGGTGACAGATGTTACCCTGTGGAGATGCTGCAGGGAGTAAACGTTTAAATAAAAAGACAATTTGTATTGAGGGGAGAAGCTGCTTGATTCTACTTTGAACTGAGATTATTAAGCTTAGCTGCATACAGGCGAATAGAATATTGACATTATCCAGAAGTATATGTTGATGAGAATTTTTCTTATTTAATAGCACTAACATCTTGATAGCCTCCATCTTTGGTGTGTAGCTTTTTAATGGGATCCTTTGCCATCCTTGTGTGATAAAATGATTATTTGAAATCTTGAGGCGGTCTTTAAAGGCCAATAAATCATTTCAATATCAAAGGTCTAAATTAGGCAATCATTGTATTACAAAAAAAAAAAGAAGCTATATTCTGCATGGGGTTAAGTTTTAAACATTCTACGGCATAGGTAATATAAATCACAGGATTTTAGTTATAATAATTTACCTTTATATTAAGATTATTGATCAATCCAAAGGTGTTGGTGTTGATATTGTATTCTGCTTCAGAAAATTTAAGAATGCTATCAAATTATCTGCTTTTTGATTATGAGAAATTATAGATCAGCTTCAAAACATGATGATTAAAATAATACACCCTAAGTGTTATAGATATCTAGAATGACATGTTTTGTTAGCAATATAGAACAAAAAACAATGTTTGTTATCATTGATATTATGTCCAAGTTGAAGAAATATTGCTGAACAAATTGACAAAAGACTCTTGCAAAAGACTGAACTATATTGAATAAGGATGCAATTCATGTATGTGCTATTTTGGAGATGGAATTATGGTGTGCAATAAATAATACATTTGCCATTGTTTTTGCCTCATTTCTTGTACATGCAGATATCATTTTTGTGCATGTATGTCTACTTTGAATGTTGCATTTTGATTTCTTCAGCAGTTAAATGTGTTTCCAAATTATAGAGTTCTGTTTGTAATTACTGATACATTTATGCAACTACTGAAAATTGTGCCATAAAGTGAAAATGTGGCACTAGAAAACTGCATGTGTGTTTTTTGGAAGATGCTTATGCCAAGTGCTGATCATTAGTCCACTTTGGAGTGCACTTGCATGCTATCTTTAAATTTCTGTTTTCTTCACACTGAAGAAAAGTGAAAAAAATACAGATAATTTTAGTTCTTATTGAGAAAAAGATTTCTTTACCTCTTACAGACAAAACGACCAAGCGCCCATCGACCAACATGACTCTCTGTGTTTACGCATTCTGAAAGCAGCAGAAAAAGTCCCATATGTTGGCTCTTTACCCACTCAACGCACCGAAATACCTTATGATCCAGAACCAAGCACCCCAGACCACACCACAACATCAGACATCGAACCTACACCAAGACACATAGCCCAGGCTGAAAGGGCCTTCTCTGATATCAGTGTCCATATAGCCACACCTGATAGCTACCCGGCCAGTGCAATGGAAAGTAGTGTTAATACAAGTATTATGGAAAGCAGTATGGAAACGGAAGCTGAGAATAGAGACTTGCGTGCAGGAGGAGAGGAAGGAAAGGTGATGTATTCTGAGGATGAAACTGACACTAGTTGTGTTGAGGCTGAAGGTAGTGTTGTGGCAGCAGACGAGAGTTGTGTGGTTACTTTAGAACACACAGTTTGACATACAAATAGGGGGCAGCACTGACTGAATAGACATTTATTAAATGTATTAAATGTCTGATGCATATATGGGGTGGGAACAACTGTTACAAATGTTAAAAACCAGTGTTCGGGACATAGGAAATTAAATTATATAACTTAACATTTTTAATGGTTTTATGTATCTACTGTAATGTATGCATTCTATATGATAAGGAACTTTTACTAGTATGTACATACCCTTGCCTTATTTTATTTCTTTTCTTGCTTCTATCAGTGTAAAAAGTTTAAAAACTAGTCAGGGTTGTTGTTTTTTTAATGTGATAATAGACAGGTTAGCTGCTGGGTTAAACTTGTCTGCAGCTATGCTTACTTGGTTAACAGGGCTTAATATTTGAAGAAAGCAAGATCCCACCAAAAAACTTAAGATTAAAAGCCAGTCATTTATGAAGGTACACAAGCATTTCCTTTGAAGCACAAAAATACCAAAGAATCAAAACCTATCACAGAATTGTATGTCCATAGTGGTGCTGTATTGTATTCTTTTTATACACTTCTAGTAAATTAAACATGCATAACTTTACATATACCTGGTACCCATGTTTTTCACAAAGAGGTCCTCATTGGATTTTAAATTTACTTTTTCTTCTAAGTAAATTGATGTGAAAGGAAAAATGCACCAATTTTAATTGCTTCAAAACTTCTCATCAGTTTTAATTGTATGTTTTCTAGTGTTTTTTTTATTCGAATAATATAGTATGGCAATTGGGGAGTTTTTAACTAGTTTTTATTATCAATATGCCTTTGTATACTTGGTGAAAGTAGGCAGTTGTGATGTATTTTCAAGATTCAGTAACATATTCATTGTGAAAGTCATTGAAGTATAACTACCACAAACATTGATCAGAAATGAAGTATCGTATGAGCATATCAGTAGACAAATTTTTATTATGTGCATCAATTCTTTTTTGAACCACATGTAACAAGTCAAACTTGTTCTAATTGTCTATCTGGTAAAAAAAGACATTTTGTTTATGGTATATACAGATGGGTAACAAAGATAGTAGATAAACTAGTTATTTTTAATGAAGTGATTACATTTCACTGAAAGTTTTTTTTTTTTTTTTTTTTTGGATACAACTTCCTTTGCCATGACAATCTGACATGACTTAAAACCCTACTTTTGCATTCAGTGTGGTATAAAGTAATATAAACTGAGCTCGTGTAACCAAATCCAATTGTGAATATGTAGTTTTGATATATGTAGAGTGCATACACTGATAACGATTACTTTTAAAGAAAATGTTTATATAAATGTGATTAGTATGAATTACAAAATGACAAAATTTTAGTCATTGTATATACATTAATAAGACAATCTGCCAAATTAAAAAGTATATGAACACATTTGATAGGACAGAAAGATCTGCATATGTGTTTTAAGTATTATCCCTGTATATCAGCTGGCATACTAGAAAGGGTTGGTGCAATGTTGGCAGGGTTACTTTGAAAAATGCTAACTTTTTCCTGCAAGATCTGACTACTATGAATCTCACAGAAACTCTTAATGTAGAAAATGTGTTATTGGATACTTTTGCATATTTTGTATACTTAATGTGTATGACAGAAAATAATTTTGTTTATAATAAAATGATAAGTAATGATTCAGAATACTTCTGGGCATTAAGAATCCTTTTAGTGCTACACTGAGATTTAAGTACTTAAAATTTTGAACATGCTGTAAGTTTTTTATCCTCAGATTCCATATGATATTGCTGAATAGTTAAAAATGATTTTTCTTTTCATATCACCAAAATTTGGGCAAAAATGTAGCAACTGTAGTTTAAAGCAGGTATTAATTTTATGAATTACTTCAGCATAGGTAGTTTACTCCATTGAAGTGAGACCTGTCATAATTTAGTTTTAAACTAGAAGGCTCATATTTTACCTTGGAAGTTGTACTTATAACACATACTTTAGTTATTATAATGCTTTTTCTTAACGTACGAAAGCTTTTGAAGGATACATATTTGTTGAACACTGAGGTATATTTGCTATTTTACTAGTGATTGACATTTCAGCTGCTTTTATGAGTTTCACTGCTTCATTTTTCTAAGTGATTTAAGTAAATTACTTTATTGTATGCTGCATTCTATGCAAAGTAAAATTTAATTTTAATGCCAACGAAAACATAAATTTTGTTTTTATTTATAGTAAAGAACAAGTTTGTAATGTTATATTTACTTTCAATGAATAACAAATGCAATACTTAATAACAAAATTTTCCTTAATAATTTATTACTTGAGCTTTTATCCACTTATACTAATAAAAAGGAAAGAAAATAATTTAATATTTTTTCTATTGAGCTGCCCTTAAATAAAAAGATAAATTCACTGTACAACTGACCTTTCGATAACAATGAATTAAAGGCCTATTCTTGACATATCAAGGAAATATTCTATTCAAGAAGTCTTCCTTCAAAAGCACCTTTTACCTTAACACATTTTATGTTCAATTCCTAATTATTTTAAACTATTAAACCCATCTATTTGATAACCCATTACTTGACAATTTACATCAGAATCTGTCTATATGGAGGTTTAATTTACTTTGTTAACCATTATTTTGGTAAAAGGATATTGTTGTATAACTTGGAATATATCTATAATAAATACTTGAAAGAATTAGCAAACTTCAGGTCAATATTCAAGTAAAGCATCTTTCTGTATGCAGACTGATGTAAAATGAAGTTAGAATATTTCTCACGTAACTGATGCAAGGAGTATACAAAAAGGTTCATAAGCAAACACTATACATTGATAGGCTGAAATACAGCTGGACAGGATACTGGGGACACTATAACACAAAACTGGGCCTGATCCTGGAAACTGGCAGTGCTCATCATTAAAACAAAATTTCGAATGTCACCAAATTACCCAGTATAAGGACAAACAAATAGGTATTTCTTATATTTCTCTTCGTTAAATAAAGCTAAGTCTGCGCAGCAGCTTCAATATTCCTGCAGGCTTTTTGAAAATGCTGAATCTACTTCAGTAAGATAAACATTTGAAAACATGAATATCATCAGACCACAGTTCATTATGCTCCTCATTGATTAGTGGACCACTTACAGCATGTTGCTAAGTAACTCATGACTGCTCTACGTAAATGTAATGTTACTGCCAAGTACAGCAAATGTGGTGAATATTTCTGCCCTGAGCTTCATATTTTGATGCCAACTGTCATTTTAATGGCTCATTGGACATCAACTTTTAGAAAACCCTCATTCATACACTGAACATAATCTATAATTCTGTTTTGAGGATGGTAGAGTTCCAATTATTTAAGAAATGGTCAAACTCCCCTGAATCTCAGTGGAATGTTCCAAGGGTAGTTTCTACCATAATAAGTTTGTATACAAAAAGTTTAATATGCTATAGAAAATCTATCAAATGTTTGGATAAATTATTTCAAGAAATTATCTGTCACCTAATATGAAATATGAAGGATCTGGAGTGAATTTATTGTGGTGCAATTAAAAAATCATAAGCCTTAGGGTTCATGCCTATTAAAATCTCAGGGTAAAATATTTCACATCTTGCAGAACTGTCTGAAATTACTGCTTAGTAGTACTTATGCATACTTTTTAGACTACCATAGTGACACATAACTGTGCAATCTGTACACATAACATATTCAGCCTGTCCAACATTTAGTTTTTTTACATTAAATCTTTGAAAATGTACTATAAGCATCTGTTGCGCTTAATCTGAGAATAGTTCTCATCCTAGCAGCCACTGACACAAGAACTTTTGAAGACTTCCAGTGGAGTACACAATGTTCTGCAGAGCACCTTGTACAGCTAAAGAACTCCATCCTCCAATAATGAGTCTCATGTTATTTTGGCATTAATATAGTATTGGGTAGATGCTTTCACACTTACCAATAAGTTTTGCCTGCTCTTCAAAACCATTTAAAACCATTTAAATCCATTTCTGTCAACATTTATAAGTTTTGAGTAGATACTTTCTCTACTAATAATGTTTTTCCATTCATCTTCAAAGTCACTAGCAGGCACTTAAGTATTTGGCAGTGATTTTTGCCTGAAATATAACTGTGAAGACAGGCATTTTCACATTTATCTCTGCCTGTTCTTTAACTATAAGAAAGGCATTTTTACAATTATCAATGCTTTCTGCCTGCTATTAAGCCCTACAAACAGGTATTTTCATATTAATAGATGTCAGCAATCAGCAATTTTCACAATAATGTGTGACTTCACATTCATAACTTATGTCTGCTGCCCATTCTTTCATGATTGTTTTATTGTTCCACACATAATGACAGCTGTTACGTTTTAAATCTCTTTGATGATGATGACGATGACGACGATGGAGATGATGATGATGATGGTCCTGGTTCTTCTGTACTGCTTGATGCTGCATCTTCTTGACTCAAATCTGCCCATCTACGTTTCATACCTCGACAGCTACTCCGTTTGCTTCTCGGAGCCTCTGCTGCCTCACAGGGCCTCATTAACCAGTCCAAGTTATTAAATAAGAATCCCCTAAGTCCAGGAGGCATGTCAATGGCCTCGGCAACATTCAAATTTGGTGGAATACATGACCTTAGCACTTGGCAGCACTGAAACTGTAGAGAAGTCCTAAAGGATCTACACCTTATTATCTTCATTCCACTCCTAGCTGCTGTGGATGACACCATAGGATACAGGGCCTTGCCATTCAAACCATGATGAGCTGTTCCTGAAGTAGGTGTAAGATAGCAATAACCTTTGAACTACAAATCAGTTTTGACCATCCACAAGCAAAGGCAAGAGGCATTGGTATCATTTATATATTTTCTTTCTTTGTATATACTTGTAGATGTTTTTACTTTTATGCTAAAAATATACTTGGCTGGAACATCTCTAGCATGCCTAGAATGTATAAATAAATCTATGCCACTCGCAAAATTCAGTATGTAAGCTTATTTATTGATTTCTAAAAATAATGTATCATACCTAATACAAAATATTTCCTTCTGTCAGGGCAAATATGCTAAATGAAAACAGTATTTGTTAATAAATTACAGTGGAAAGTTTACCTAACAGTTTCCTATTTTTATAAAAAGTCAGGGTTCCTCTCCACATGTCCAAATGTACCCCTATAATTGAGCCCTGTGTGAACCTCCCAGCAAACTTCTTAGCTTCTCCCTTGTGGTGTACCAGGCCCGTATAGGACAAGCCCCAGCTGTCTGCGTCCTTGCCAAGAAAACTGCAGAAATTGTGTCTGTATTTGTCAAGGTTCAGCTGTGATGTGCCCACTCCAACCATCTAGTAAAAGAAATCAAAATTTATATACATGATTTTGTTTTACAAAATTTGACACACATACACAGGAAAGATTCTCAATTATTCTGACCTAAAACTGATTTAACACATTACAGACTTCCACATTTCAATCCTTCTTCCCCAGAGGCTGACTATTATCTAAGTGTACACTTGCAAATCTTACCATGTCTGTACCATAAACTGGCGTGACCATTTTAATCTCCCAGTAGTACTGGTGATCCTTCATGGGTTGTGTTCCCCTAGCAACAGCAGTTCCACAGCTGTAATCCGGATGGAACTTGACATAGCGCCGGTCAGGGCCTATTACTGTAGCTGCAGACTTGGCATTGTTGTCCCATACCCACTCAAACTCTGCAACTGAAACATGTTGATATGAGCTACTGAAACCAGCAACAAAGTTCAATGCAGGGGAGACAAAGGATCCTGAATCACACAAAAACTCCAAAAAAAAAAAAAAATTTTTTTTAGGTTCTTGCATTGGGTGTCTACAGGGCCATGGTAAAAACCTGACAAATATATGATGATATTCAGGCATTAAGCATCACTTTCAAAATGGGAAGTTAATAAGATGGTTCACATGTGTTAGACAAAACAATACCTTCCAACCTGTTTTCGATAATATTAGCATAGGTCACCACTTTGGAGTGCACCTGCATGCTATCTTTAAAATGCTGTTTTCTTCACACTGAAGAAACTTCATTTTTTCTTGAAAAACAATGCATCAATAAAAATAAAACAATAACCACAGTTAGAATGTATCATGCAAACAGTATATCTACCAGTATCATCTTCTCCACATTTGCATTCCAAATCTCTGCCAAACTTGTAACAGTTACAGAAAGCTTCGCCAACGGAGCCTGGTCTCATCATGACTTCATGGAAAGTTATGGGATGGGAATCCACTTCCTCTTCAGAGTCACTTGAATGCACTAGCAATTCAACTGAATTCAATAGTAAAGAGCAGACTGAAGCAAAATAATGTTATCTGTATGCAGAATGTGAAATACATAATACATAGCTCAAAATATATTGCACAAAGTTTAATGTGTTAGCACTCCCATATACAAGAAGAGCCACTAGCATTGAGTGGCCAACTTGGCAGACAACTCGTTTATAATCAAATTGTGCCAATTTGTTTATTTGATCCAACTATGTGTGTGTGTGTGTGTGTATGTGTGCGTGTGCATGCATTGTGCTGTATTGTGCATTAAATATGACCCGGCCAGTACTTTTCAATGCTACATGTATTTTCTAAAGTGGCTTCATAATCTTAACATTCAGTTTGAAGACCAATATTGACACAGACAGTTCCATACACTCATTTACATTATATGGTCATCTCAAGGAGCATACCCAGGGTTAGGCCAAGATCCTCACCAAAGCCAAACCCTCGGATATATGACAAGTATGGTATTACGTCAGAGGAGAAGCTAAATGCATGATCCATGCAGTGCCTCAAAACCCTTGGGTATCCTTTACGTTACAGCTAGTATCTTCAAAATGAAATAATTGACCTTGTAATTCTGAATATTTATGGGAACCACAGGAACAATTTAAAGCGGGTTATCAACTGAAGGCGTTAAAGGGTGTTTGTAATTTTAACCCAACCCCTTTTCGAGGATGCGTGAAGATCCTAAGAGGTGAACAGATTTCTGAATTCATCTCACCTCTCCTTGATTCTAGTTCGTCTCTACCTGCTCGTGTCAAACTAGTTATATATTCAAAGCTTGAACTCGGTCGTTCTGTCTCCTCTTCTGACATTTTACATCAAATTGGGGTGGGCAAATTAGTTATTATGACCATTGTAACAATGTTTTCCTCTCGTGCCATTAGACTGTAAATGTTTATCCTATTTCCGGTATGTGAGCCGCTTACAACATTAAAATAAAAAATTAAAAGACAAAACCAGAAAGGCTAATTTGTTTTTATCACAAACTTTACTGTAATTATCTAGTTGTTTAATATATTATGGGAGGAAATGTGTATAGAAATATGTCTTTATAGGTGCACAATTTTTTGTCATTAAGCGACTCAAAGCTGTGCTGTGGCATTGTCACATGATAATAGCGTTGCACAAGCTTATTCATTACCACAAGTGAAAAAAGATGAACCTATAGGTCAACTGAACAATATGAGCCTGTGGAACCATTATATATTCATAAGTTCGGATTTTCATCACTTATAGCGGGTGAGTCCAGAGTTTTATGAGTGTCAGGTAACAATTAGTGTCAGGTACAGTAGTGTACAGTTGTATAACATTAAATTGCCTGCACAGTACTGTACAACTTTCGTTTTAGCATAAGTAGTAACTCTAACAGTATGATTGTCAGATAGTTGAGTTAACAGATAGCTAGTAGGGTATGTACTGTACATGTAATTCATCATGTCCATGTAGATCGTATATACTAGTACATGTACACTGTACTAAGTAGTTGCAGGACTGTTGATTTGCCTCAGTTTTCGGCCTCACAATTTTACTTGAAACAGCAAGTACCTAGCGTAAAAGGCTGATAACTGAGGCACAGGACTTATGTCGGGTACATCTTTGTGGTATGCATTTTGAAGAATCTCAACATCTGTTGTAATATTAATTGAAATCACACTTAACATCTTAATTAGTCTGCAAGGCATTCCTTGATATTGTTTCAAACCATTTCCATAATATTGCAGGTGTAATTTTTTGTTTTACAAAGGCTAAAATAATAGATATTAAACTCTTAACTGTTTTAACTGTGCCAAATTTTCATTAGTCTTCAGTAAAAAGCATAAATAAACTCTTTGTCCTTGCAGAACAATATAATTTACCTTCTAAGCAATAGGAAGACCTCTGTGCCGGTAATAAGGCTAATTTGATCTTGACTTTTTAAAATTTACTCCATCATCTTCTGAGCAGTACTTACTAGTGCTCTCCTAGCTTTCCTTTGGTTTGTGTATAATTGTAAAAACCAAGGTCACAAGAAAGGATTGATGCATCAATTTAACTGTCCCTATTGGCTGGCCAACTCACAGCATTGATAGGAAAAAAGTTCCAGTCCACGTGTTCAAATCTTGACATGATAACAAGAAATATGTAATTAACAGATCCAAAAATAATTACTTTGTGACATTTGGGGTTTATAACACTCAATATTTTACACTGAAAAATGGAACAGCATGTTCATTTCTATAATATTTTCTGGCCAGACAGCTCATGGACTATATAAGTCTGTTTCAAATGAACTGTTCTGCAGTACTGAAAGATCGTGAAGGTTGAAAACATTTTTACACAAATTTAGATGTAAATGTAGTGTCTGAGTGTTGCATGGTATTTTCAAGCCAACATGATTTCACACAATATTTGAAAATCCAAAGAGGAGGTTGAATGGCTTTCTCTTTTGTCCACATATTTATGTTTTCATGGATAAGGTGGATTGACTTTTCATTCTTTTTATATATATATAAAAATGATATTACTCTCTGTAAAGATTATAATCATACATGCATAATACTGATATCTACTCTGTTTGCATTAAGAGCACGAGATACTGATAATGTTGAAATGATCAGGTGATATAATGTCAGCAAGTGTATTCCATTGAACTTTACATCCTTGTGCTCATTGATGATAAAGTAAGACCAGTCTGGATTTTGACCTGAAGTGGTTATACAAACATTTTGTTCTAATCACATTCTTTCTAATCTAATCACATTATTTCATTTAAATTCTGTTAAGGCACAACACTAAACAAAAGAACATGAAAAGACTTTTACCTGATTATATAGTCATTGATTTATGATGACCTGGGCAGGACATTCTGTATTATCAAACTACTCTGATCTCAAGCTTTGTTGAGTGTGCTATGAGGGGCTTATAGTCAATATTTTAGTGAATCTTGCTCACACGTCCTGCAGCATATTGTGTTTTTGTAAACTGTCATTTGTCACCTGATTGCTATTCACATCTGAGACTGGGTTCCCATACCTTGATTGATCTAATAGGATTGATCCATCTCCATGGGGTTTCTTGCTAAATTGCTTTCAGCTTAAGCAGCTTAGAAGTCTGGCAGCTTCAGCAGGTACGATAGACACCTAAGCTGCTTAAGTTGATTGCAATCTAGCAGGAATCACCTTGGAGATAGATCGATCCACGTTTAGTGCAATAGGGTGCAAAAGTGTTACTGATAGTATTGGTCAAATTTAAATGCAATGAACCTCTTTGTATTATTTACTAATAATTATTGCTATTTTCCCATATGAAGGTAATGAATATATGCTCTTAGATAATGATTTTTTTAAATTCCTCATTTTAGGTCACAAGCAGTTGATCAACAGTAAATATGACAAGTGGTTTCCAGAAGTTTCGCCTCCTTCTGTGGAAGAACTATGTTTTGCAGAAGAGGAAACCAGTTGTAACATTCTTTGAGATCTTTCTCCCAGCCATCTTTGCTGTTATTCTTGTGCTGGTTCGAATGAGGGTAGAATCTTTTAATATAGATCATCCAACAACATGGGATTCATTCAAAGTGAACAGTTTGGACCCTGTCACTTTCAGTTTCTTCAAAAGTTCACCTCCCAAAGTTGCTTACACACCAGTAAACAATATTACTACAGAGATTGTTACCAGGGCTTATCAGTATCTAGGACAAAGTGAAAGTAAGTAACCTTTCAATTCCACGCTGGATTGACAAATTTGGAAATAATCTAAATGCCTTACCTTACTGATTTTCTCTCTTGTAACATCTTTTTAACACCATGAAATATTTCACAACCACTATTTCTTTCAGTTTTATGTAAGTAAAGATGAGGTACATTTTTTATTTTATTAAATTTATATTTATTTATTAATTTATTTTTGTGAAATTGTAATATATACACAGATGAATTTTTTTTTTTCAAATGAAAAAGATATAGAAGGGAAAATACTAAAAAAATGTGTGACTTAAAGGAGGGAAGAGTACTGAGGTCACTTTACAAATTGGTGTCTTATTACTATTTTTACAATAAGATAGCATTAAGCATCACTTTTAGATTTTTTTAATAACTATTTTCTCCCAATTTTTTCAGGCTCAATTGAGGGCTTTGCCAGTGAAGAGGCTCTGGTAGAGCATGTCATGTTCAACAATATCACCACAGATCTCACAAGTCAATTCATGGCTGGGATAGTATTTACATCTCCATTCACTAATGAGAAAACAGTTCCATTCAATATCTCCTACACTTTGAGGTTCAGTTTCTCTCCCCGAACTGCTTCTCCAATCAAAGTGAATGGTTTTGTCACAGAAAAATGGAAAACAGAGTCTGAGTTTTCAATTTTCCAAAAGATAGGACCCAGGGAGGCTAACAGTTCAGATGGAGGAAAACCAGGTATGATACACAAGATAATACCAAAATGCCAGTGGAAACTATCAAAACTGTAAGCATACAAATTTTGTACTTGGAGTTATCTTTCTTTTTATCTCTTTTAGCTTATAACTCTTAAGTATTTTAAGACATTTTCACTTCCATAAAGTTATTTTTTTACTGACCGAGTTACATTTTCACACAAACTTATTAACATTGTTACCACATTTGGCACTTATAGGTTATTACCAGCAGGGATTTCTACCACTCCAGCATGCCATAGATGTTGCTATAGTCCAGCTGCTGAACTCCTCCTTTGTGCCAGAAGACAAAATTAAACTGTCTCTGAGACGCTTTCCCTATCCACCATACTTACAAGACAACTTTGTTCTGATAATCCAGCAACAGCTCCCATTGATACTCATGATGAGCTTTGTCTTTGCTGCCCTGCAAATTGTCAAAGACATTGTCCATGAAAAAGAGAGGAGGTTAAAAGTAAGCTGGGACATTTTTGTCTGATTTTCTCTTGGAGATAAAAAGTAACCTGCAGTTCGAAATTGCAGATAGCTATATGTGTCATTGTTTTATGCCTATAAGTAACATAGTAAGCACAATTGAAAAATAATTCAGGAAGCGAGCATTTCTCTTTCTTATATTTAACACTGTTTTACACCTGTTTAGAAAGTGCGATTAAAATATTAATTATCATTTCTAAAAAGTATATTTTCATGTACATTTTACTTAGGAATCAATGAAAATGATGGGCATGGGTAACTGGTTACACTGGGCAGCCTGGTTTGTCAAGTACTTCCTCTTCCTCCTCATTGATGTGGCCATCATGACAGTACTGTTCTGTATCAAAGTGGGAGAAAATAGCACAGCTGTGGTGGGGAAGAGCGACCCATCTGTTATACTTGTGTTTTTGGTTGTGTATTCCATATCTAGCATTGCCTTTTGCTTCTTGGTCAGTGTGCTTTTCAAAAAAGGTTGGTGTAGATATATATATATAATGTACTTAGGCTTCGTTCACATGGAAAGTATATTTTCTAAAAATCTATTTTCTATTCCCGGTATCTTATGATCACGGTCTGTGCCCTGAATATCCCCCGGCGTAATTACTGGCTTATAGTATCTGGCTCTCGCTGCCAGTAATTACGCCGTGGGACATTCAGGGCACAGACCGTGATCACAAGATATACCGCAAATAGAAAATAGATTTTTAGAAAATATACTTTCCATGTGAACGAAGCCTAATATTAGAGTATTTTATATTCTTTTATGTGTAATCAAGTTTGCAGACTTGTCATTTCAGACATGTTTGTCTGTTTGATATTTTTTATTTTTACTCTAACAAATAAGATATTTAATGATTTAAGGAAAATTCATATTATTGAAGAAAAAAATGGTTTGATAATAAATCAAATATGCCCTTGTATCAACATATATGGTATTGCCTTTCTGAGAGGATATGGTGGCCTTGAAAAAGGCCTTTTAGTTTTAAGTTGGACACATTGTTCCTACTGTGGAAAACACATGTTGTACTGAGATCTCTGTAGTGCCTCAGCCTCTTCAGACACTCTGAGTGCATACTCATAGTACATCTGCTTCACTCCAAAGAGAGTGGTGATCTTCTGACGAAGGCTGTAGCAAGATGCATGTCTACTGCTCATTGTTGCTCTGTAGTAACGTTGCTTGAGATCCTGGATGTGTTTTTCCAGGACTTGTATTAGATGTAGAGCTTTGGTAAATTTAGCATGCATGATAGTCAGTTGATCCTCAGTGTAGTCAGGATCCAGTTTTTGGTCGTCATCATAAAATACGCTGTCATGAGAGAAACTGTCAACATCAGAAAGCTCTTCTGATTCAAAGCTGTCCCTCTCCCACTGGTTGCTGTCAATCTGAAGAATACTGGTCTGGTCTTCCATTTTGGCAAATTGGAGAAAATGTGCAAAAGTACTACTTTAGTCTTTTCACAGTGAGACTTAATTCTTAAGTAATGAGCAGAGAGTGAATTTTGCAACTTATATAGGCAAATTCACAATGATGTTTATGTAATGCATCAAAATATATGGCTTCACTGGATTCACCTGAGAAATTGATTTATGAAAAGCCCTCTGAAAGTCTGCAGTTTTCCAGTTGACTGAATGTTCATCAGTAAAAGAGAACTATTATGTCTTTGATCTGGTGAAACAACACCTGTGGCCAGGTGAATTATCTCACCTATTGTCTATCAGTTAAGTGCTTACCATCCACAGGTAATTGTTTCTGCTTTGATCACCCATTGAAAAGAATATCCTGGTAGCTAATGTGACAGCAATTATGTGTGATCACTACCTGACTGATCAGGTAGAATTTTATTTCTTGCCATGCCATGGCTTCTTCATTCATCCTAACATCTCCTGTAATGTTAAATTAATAGCTACACAAGGCTTTGATGAACCACCTTTTCAGATTAACAAGGTTAAACACTTGTAAAAAAAATTGAAAAATATAATTGTTATGGTATTTATTCAAACAAGTGTCTTTTACTTTTTAGCAAACTCTGCTGCAGCTGCAGGAGGAATTCTATTTTTCCTCACTTATGTACCATACAGTTTCATTCAACCTCGGTATGGCACTATGAATCTGACAGAGAAAGTGGCATCCTGTCTCATTTTCAACGTTGGCATGTCATTTGGGGGGCAGTTAATAGGAATGTTTGAAGGTGCTGGTAAGTATCGAGAAAGGACAAATTCAGTGACTCTTATAGGAGTTATTCATTGATAATTATTTTAGTTTAGATAAGTTAGCTAAAATCTGCCAATAGTCTAAACCAGATTTTTCTAAGAATCTAATGTCTTTTCTCTCACATTCATGCAATTTTCAAATGTAGAATATGTCTCTTTAAAATATAATTTGGATATTTGACAACCTGCCAACTCTGAATTTCAACTTGTTCAATTAAAGGTGCTGGTGTCCAGTGGTATAACATAGCCCAGGGTGTGTCTGTGGATGATAACTTCACCATGCTACATATCCTGGTAGTTCTTCTGGTTGACTCTGTCCTCTACATGCTGCTGGCTTTTTACATCGAAGCTGTCTTCCCTGGAGAGTTTGGTCTACCACAGCCATGGTATTTTCCTGTCACTGTAAGTTTTCAAAGCATATATCTTCTTGTGGAATTTTGTTTAGCAGTTAATTAATAGAAAAGTAAAGAAGGGTGAAGAAGATTTTCCAATATTTTCAACAGGAGCATAAATAGATAAGGTAATTTCTTGTTTTGCATCATAGCTCTCAAAGCTACAAAATTACATTCAGGAATCTTTAGCTTTTAAGTGACTTTTTATTGATTGTGTTTAACTTTAATGTAGAGATCCTTCTGGTGTGGTACCAAGCAGAAGAAGGTCTATGTTATGGAGGATGAGGAATGTGCGCCACTAATGAAACATGCCACAGGAGCTCAGAACCACTCCGAATATTTTGAGAAAGATCCTTCAGGATTGCATGCTGGGATAAGAATAATGAACTTGAGAAAGGTAAGTACTTATTGTGTTTGAGGTATGAGTAATTTGTATTTGTATTGCTAAGTCACAGTAGAGGACTTGTGCCAAGTATGCAAAATATCATTGGCTAGTTTAGCAATTGAAAAAAAAAAGTTTATGCTTTAGATTATCAGGTGCTAAATATTTGAAATGATGGGTCATATGTTGTCAACTTTTTTCTTGTATTTAAATACTAATATTAAAAGGAATCTTTTACAGGAATTTCACAAAAAAGTTGCCGTGGCTGGCACCTCATTGAATATGTATGAAGGTCAGATCACAGCTCTGCTGGGGCATAATGGCGCTGGGAAGACAACTACAATGTCCATGCTCACAGGTTAGCATGATCTATAGTGAAGTATAGTTTCAGCATGTAGAACAAGAAGATCGGCCTTCCTCCTGGGAATATGTTCGTTTCTTCTTTTGTTTGGTAATACATCCAACATGGAAAATAATGTAACAAAACTATTTTTCAAGGAATGTACCAGTAACACTTACTGCAAGGGTCCATTCTTGATAGGAAATGATTTGATTTGAAAACTGGTAGTAAAAACTAAGAAAATATTGTAATTATATAGTTTGTATAAAAAAAGTGACAAATTCTAAAAAGTGTCTTTCTTACAGGTTTCCTGCCCCCAACCAGTGGTACAGCAGTGTTGAATGGCTATGATATACTAGAGGACATAGGCAGTGTACGCAGCAGCCTGGGCCTCTGTCCTCAACATGATGTTCTGTTTGATACTCTAACAGTAGAGGAACACTTGGAGTTCTTTGCCAAGGTGTGTTTTGATTATATGTTGAAATGCCCTTAACAAAATCTGAAAAAATACCCCTGACTTCTCACTCTGATAATATTGATTAAAGAATTAATATTTTAATTATCATTGTTGATATGTTAAATTTTGATAATATGATGCCTTTTTTCATTGGTACTTTTTTGAATTGGAAATATACCCGGTGTGTAAATACAAAAAAATTGCTTCCAAATCACCGAATATTTTCCAGTTGCAGTTCAATCAAAAGCATCTAAATGTCTGTGTTTTGTCTGATTTACTTTACAGCTCAAAGGTTTCCCAGTCAGCCAAATGAATGAGGAAATCACTAGGATACTGGACACACTTGGCCTTTCTCCCAAGAGACACGCCCAGTCTAAAACACTGTCTGGGGGGATGAAAAGGAAGCTCTCTGTGGGAATTGCTTTGATAGGAGGATCTAAAGTAAGGGCATGAAAAAACTTCTTATTTCATCATATATCTGTTCAGAGTGGCTTGAAAGTTAATTGTAATGTGTTTATGTTATCCTGTAGATGAATCACATTTGAAGAACCTGCACACGTTAGTTTTTTGTCAGACTTTATTGAAATGATGAACCCTTATAGACAGTTATCAAATTTATACTGATACTGAATCAGAGCAATGGACTAATACAAAATTCTTTATGAAAAAACAACAATTACAGGTGCTTATTTTGGATGAGCCTACCTCTGGAATGGATCCCGATGCCAGACGTCACACCTGGGAGATCCTGCAGCAGCAGCGAGAGGGACGCACCATCCTTCTCACTACCCATTTCATGGACGAGGCAGATGTCCTGGGAGATCGCATAGCTATCATGGCAGATGGTGTGGTACAGTGCTGTGGGTCATCTTTATTTCTGAAGAATAAGTATGGTGAGTGTGCTACAGAACCTTGAATGCAATAAAGAACATTCTTTAGTGTCTTGTTATCATCAGTCTCAGACTTGAGAAGTTGAGGGTAATGAAACATGTGGAAAAGCATAAAGCTGAAGTTTTTTTTATAACCATTTCTGTAAACAACAAAATATTCTCATCAATTATATTTTTGAAATATTCTCAAAGATTAATTAAACACGCTTAGCATATTTATTTTGACTGATTTATTTTGGTTAATTATCTTTCTAAAAATGTAATTTGTGCATCTTTTGGCTGCAGGTGCTGGTTACCACATGGTCATAGTTAAAGAACCCAACTGCGTGGTCTCCAAAATTACGGACATCATAAAGAAATATGTTCCTGGTGCAGCAATCGAGAGCAATGTTAGTGCCGAGTTGTCCTATATCTTACCCCATGACAGCTGTGACCAGTTTGAGGGGTTGTTTTCAGACCTGGAGCTCATGAGGGAAGATCTGGGAATTGCCAGCTTTGGAGCATCTGTCACTACCATGGAGGAAGTGTTTCTTAAGTGAGTCTTGAAACTGATATCAGTTAGCAGGAATATCTATTTGTAAAAGCATTATAGAAGTCAAATCAGTAAACATATGTGCTTGAGCTTGAGTTTTGGGATCAAATTTCTCAGTAATGACTTGATCTTTTCAATGGGCAAAAATTACTTTCAGGTATATTATTTTAAAATCACAAAAATTATATTTCTATTTATCTTTTGTGGTGCTTTTATTGCATACAAAAGAACTATAGAGTAGCCTGCTTTTTAATTTTGTTGCTACCACTGAATAGGAATGTTCTAATTTTAACAAATTATGACTTAAAAGATACAGTATCTGTAAAATTCACAGTTTTCTCCCATTGAAAAGATTGAGTAATTACCCTATATTTTTACATTTTAAAAAACTTGTATGTTCAGAGTTGGAGAATTTTCCCACAATGGGCGTGATTCATCTGGAGAGTATGAGTCTACATCGTATAGTGTTCCAATGAATTCAGCAGTGAATGGTCACATCCCAAGCATTGAACCTGAGGACAGCGGTAAGTCAGGTAGGAGTAGAGCTTGCTTGTGCAATAAAACACTGCTTCATATCAAGTGAAAAAATTGTTACCATCTTTGATTAGCATATAAAAATATATTTAAATCCCCATTAATGTGAATCATGAGTTTTGTTTGATTTTTCTTTCAGCTTTTGTTGAAGATACCAAATGTAACAGGGGTTTTGCCTTATACACACAGCAGTTTTATGCCATGTTTGTCAAGCACATTCTCCACACCTGGAGGAATGTGGTTCTTACAACATCTCAACTCCTAGTGCCATTGTTCTTCACAATACTCGTCTTAATCATTCTGAAGACTCTTCCCACGCCAGATGACTCTCCTCCACTTGCCATGGTTTTGGACAACTTCCGCCAGCCAGTAGTGCCCTATTCTCCAGGGTATCAGCCATCTGCATTTGCCAGCCATTTTGGACATGTGTTTGAAATGCAGTATAAAGGAACCAATGTGGAAGCTGTGAATATCAATGAAAAAGAGGGTAACATCACCATGATTAACTACTTGGTGGAAAAGGCTACAAATGATCTAGCAGAATTTGATAATAGATACCTTGTTGCATCTGAGTTTCATGAAGTCAGTGGGGCATATTTGAATGCGACTGCTCTGTTTAACAACCAAGGCTATCATACCCCTGCCATCACGCTGTCAGCATTTGACAATGCTGTGTTGAAGTACTATGCCAACAGCAGTTACAATATCCGTACCACCAACCATCCGTTACCACCCACCAGCAATGACAAAGTCAACAACCAACTGTTGTCACTAGCGTGGGCTTTCTCCATAGCATTTAATGTGCTGTTTGGAATGTCATTTCTGGCCAGCAGCTTTGTCCTCTTCATCATCAAGGAACGGGCAATCAAGTCCAAGCATGTCCAGTTTGTCAGTGGAGTCCACGCCATAAACTTTTGGGTCTCTACCTTTGTATGGGATGTGATCAATTTTCTCATACCAAGTGTCCTCATCATTATCACATTTGCAGCTTTTGATATTCCTGCCTTTATCAATGACGGAAGATTTATGCTGACTTTATTCCTGTTCTTTCTCTATGCCTGGGCAATGCTGCCACAGATGTATGTTTTATCTTTCATATTCACAGTGCCGTCATCTGGATTGGTGTGGTTAACCATGCTCAATTTCTTGTCAGGTAAGCTTTTTCCTCGTGTCTTATTAGATATATAGAATAACAGTAGATGGTATGATATTTTCATTTGTGCAAAAAATGGATACTTTGTGTTTGGATGTTGGCTGTAATGCTTTACAACTTTTTGAATGAAACCTTTTCCTGCAGCTACCTATACTGTCACAGAAAAAGATGCAAACAGATTCATTAATTACATGATATGAACAATATTTGACTTATATTATAATGTTCAAAGGCTTTCCATTTGTTTTGCTCCAGGCATTGCTACCATGCTCGCTGTGGACATACTCTCCATTCCAGAACTAGACTTAGTAGACTTGTCCAAAGTTTTGAACTGGATATTCCTGGTTATATTTCCAAACTTTTGCTTGGGCACTGGGCTCCAGACCATGTATGCACTGTATGCTTCAAATGCTCTGTATGATGATGTTTGCAGGAAAAATGCTGAAATCTTTGACTTTGTATGTCATATAAAACAGTATGAAACAACTATGTGTTGTCCTAGTAAGTACCTTTTTCCAGTTTTGACTTTACCAATACATCATGATTTGGTCATTAATATTTAAGCAATAGATCAACCATTTTTGAGAAGTATACTGTTGGCAAGCTCAACTTTTGGTTTTTACAGTTTTGATTTATTCATCATTGTGCTGTCATCTCTCCATATGTATTTTGTGCACTATAGTCTATTATACAAAAGAGTCAGGTTATTTGTTGAAAGCAGCTTAATGCTTTAAACAGTAGTCTTAAAAGTAAGCACTAATGTGTTGGACTGTTGATATATTACACCTGAATATGTATTTTGATTCTGTGTATTGTTACTGAATATACATAGTAACAGATGTCTTACACGCTAAATTTTTGTGATTTCAGAGTGCACTGTAAATTGCCTTAGTTATGAAAGTAACTACCTTGTTTGGGATGAAATAGGAATCGGCAGGGAAGTGCTATTCCTAGCATTGCAGGGACTGTTGTTCTTCAGCCTCCTCTTTTTGATGGAATCGGAGTACTTAAAAAAGCTCTGGTATCGTATGCGCGAGAAGCAGGTGGTTTCTAGGAATCGTACTTTCTCTGGAATCAGTATGGACGGCCGCATACAAGAGGATACAGATGTTAAAGCTGAAAGAGAAAGGATTTTGAAGCAGCCTCCAATGTATCACAGTGATGCTCTGGTTCTTAGGGAACTTACAAAATATTATGGGAGTCACCTAGCTGTAAATAATGTAACTGTAGGGATACCACAGGGAGAGTGTTTTGGCTTGCTAGGTAAATATTCCTGAGAAATGAATGACATGGATTGGCATAAAATTTGATAGAGTAAATATATGTCCGTGCCTGCATGCAATCCCATGAGTAGAGTAGCCAGTGAAAATAGTTGAACTGTAAATAAAAAAATGCTTGGATACCTAATCCTGTTCAAAATTTTATTCAAAAATTTAATGCTGCATTTTGTTTGCTGACATCTTGTACTCAGCTCTATCCTTACAGGAGTATTATACACATTGATTTTTGCCATAGGATTGCTATATTTTCAAGTATTGTTCTAACACAAAATGCAGTTGTGATGCTATTAGTAAGTCCAAAAGTGTTTTCTGATGCATGTTTTTATGAATAACTAATATAATTATATATATTTATATTGTAGGTGTTAATGGTGCTGGAAAAACCACAACTTTTAAGATGTTGACTGGTGATGAAATTGTGTCAAGTGGAAATGCATACCTTCAGAATGTTGATATAAGAAGTAACATTAAAACTGTAAGTAAAATTATCTTAGTATTTCTTCCACCTGCTTTTAACACTTGAACATTTAAAACAGTTTTCCTTTACATTGGTAACACTGTAGCCAGATATGCTAAAACTGGCAACTGGGTTTACATTAAAGGCTCCTCACCCTGTTTCATTTTCCAGTCATTTCAAAATTAAACAACTTAATGCCTCTACCTGATATGTGCAAATTTCTTAATTTTAATGCATGTGTGCAGACGTATACTGTCCTGATTATTTTTATCTGTCTGTGTCATGGGCAGTACATAAACCCAAAATCATGAAAGTCTGAGACCAGAGGAATCTTATAAAAAGGGAGAATTTAATTTGAAAGACATTCAAATCTAAGTTGGGCATGCAAGGGGAACAATATTTTATGGGGCGTCCGTACTGTACTACAGTACCTGAACAGAGTACTTGTGCACACATTTTGGTCATTTTTACTAGAGGTGTGGGAGTTAGTGTGAATTAGGGCAAGTAAAACCTCTCACCTCGCACACCTTCCAAGTTACAATGATGGAGAAATCTTTGTTAGATGAAGTCTACAGCTTCTGTTGCCTAACTGATTAAATACCATTTTGATTGCATGATGAATTAGTTAAAATAGTAAAAATATCATTTAGGCTTGGCATAAATAAAAGTGGCCTAAAGTGGCCAGATATCTATCAACCTATATATTACATATGTGATTTGATCTCATTAATTGAATCTCACACTACTCAAGATTGAAGGTATTTATTTTTTCTCTTTCTCTATCTATAGGTTCAGCAACGTCTTGGCTACTGTCCCCAGTTTGACGCCTTGCTGGATCAGATGACAGGAAGAGAGACACTGTTCATGTTTGCCAGGTTGCGTGGTGTAGTAGAAGCACAGATCCCCAGTGTGGTCCAGAATTTGATGTCGACATTACTGCTGGAGGAGCATGCTGACAAGCTGGTGAAGGATTACAGGTTGGTTTTGAGTGAAACTATGACAATGTGGTTATTGTGTTTGGTTCGACAGTGTGCAAGATGTTAGATGATGATTGTGCATTTTATTGTATAAATTGAGAAAGTTTAAGTTGTGAATATGTAGGTATCAAGATAACAGTATTTTCTTTATCTAATTTCTTTTGATATTTTCATATATTGCCCTGTTTTTAAATTACGAAAGTGAATTAAAGTTATTCTTTCTCAGGATTGATGTCGTTCTTACAGTGTAAGTCTAATGGTTTCCTGTGTATTCTTTGCATTTGATAAAAAAATTACACTGAATTTAATTTTGAATTTCTCAACATTTATTTTGGATTGAGAAGCATGTATAGATTATATTTTTAAGTTGTGAAACTTTCATTCTCTCTCCAGTGGAGGAAACAAAAGAAAACTGAGTACAGCCGTAGCTTTGGTTGGTAACCCTCCAGTGATCTTCCTGGATGAGCCATCATCAGGCATGGACCCTGTTGCTAGGAGACATTTGTGGAATACACTGGCCAAGGTCAGAGCCAGTGGTAGGACTTTGGTACTGACATCACACAGGTGAGGGAAGGGCATTACCCGAGGTGTGGAGTAAAGTTAATTTTCTAGGGAAGAGGACTACAAAATTATACATGTTGTATAATATAACACTAAAGCAGAATAATGGATTTTTTCTTTTTTTTTTTGCAAAACTGCAAAATACTAAATAAAAAAAAACAGCTTTGAAAATTGTACAACAAACAGATTCTGTCATAAAAACTCTATTTTGTATTTTTCAAAATTTTGCCAAATCAATTATAAACAAACCTGACATATCCACAATCCTGTGAACTTCACCAAATTTTATTCCCTACATTTCCAGTATGGAGGAATGTGAAGCTCTGTGTACAAGAATTGCTATCATGGTCAATGGACAGTACAAATGTCTGGGCAGCACACAGCACCTGAAGAACAAATTTGGTGAAGGCTACACTCTTATAGCAAGAATAGGGCCTCCATCCAGAGGTGAGGACACTGTTCTCCAGCCAGTCATGGAATTTATTGAGAAGTCCTTTCCTGGAAGTGTCCTGAAGGATGAGCACCAGGGATTAGTGCATTATCATATTACTGACACTACCCTTTCATGGGCCAAAATATTTGGCACAATGGAGCGTGCCAAGGCAGAATTTCATATTGAGGACTATTCTGTCAGTCAGACGACTTTGGAGCAAGTCTTTATCAACTTTGCTCGGTCTCAAGTCGCCCCGGAGGAGGTTGAGATGGGTACATGTGCCACATGTGGATTATGTTGCAAAATGATTTTTGGTTGTTATCTGTGCCGATGTGAGAATGTGCAGTGAGTTTGATTGTGTGATGTACTTAAGTTAAACAGAATTGTGATATATATAAAGATTTCAAGTGAACTTGCATTTGAAGTACATGCATATAATTGCCAAAAGAATAATGGGGATCATTTCCAGTTTAACTACCACATACTGGTATTTGCTCACAATTCTCGTAAATAATACATGTACTTCACACATTATTGAAATTATGGAAATTATCAATGATTTTGTTTGAATGATATCCTTGTTATGTTAATTCAATTGTTAAGTTTATTGACATTTGGTATTGGATAGCGATTGAGATTAATTCAGGTTGATGCAATTTTGTCAGTTAAAAAGGATGTTCAGTTATTGTTTGAAACAATTTACTGGAAGTTGTTACTTATAAAGTGATGTTTTGATTAAATATGGTTTGTATGATGCAAGGTACATGTATATTATTCTCATATCAGAATAGCACCCAATATATATTTATATTTACTGGTAACACTTTGCAGTAGAAATCAGTTTCTACATCATCATCATTACCAAAGAAACGGTAAAACTTATGAATCATGTGATGTGATAGTATTTCATTGTGCAATTTTGTAATTTGTTCTCATCTAATGTTTTTGTTGAAGCATTGCCTCTTTTTCTTCAAAATGTCAGCCTCTCAGCAAAAAAAGCATATGTACTATAATTCAGGTTCTACCCTTTACATGCCTTTATAACAGATTGAATTTCATTACCTCTGTGGCTTTATGATTATGAGAAAGGAGTAGAAAAATGAATTTGACTGTGATAAAAGCGGTGAACAAACATTGGAATAGAAGTTGGAAAAACATTTATTTTAACTAAAAATGTGAGGGTGTTTTTAATTTTTTAGTGTTATATAAGAAAACATGCAGTAACATGATTTTAATTTATTGACAGAATTGTTTGATATTATGATACAGAGCTGCTTCTTAAGGACTCAAAATATTTTCAGCAAATAAAGAATATCAAATTTTATTAGTCAATGTTATTTTATCCTATCTGCCTGATATTAGAGTGGTGAAGGATGCTCTGCATCTTTTATCCATGATTGCAAAACTGTTTGGTGCTGGGCTGCTACATTATTTTTATAGGAAGGGCATCATGTAACATTGCAATGTGGAAATATATTCACAGCATCAATTAAGACACCAGTTCTATGTTGTGAGTTAATGTTAATACTGGTGGAGGGCAATAACTGTCACTGCCGTTGTCTAAAAGAGCAAATTTAGATGTAGACAAAATATTTTGATAATTTATTTGGTAGATATACATATTGTATTTGTAATTAATCTAAAATCTCAAACAACTTTCTTGTCTTGAAAAGTACAGATCTTGAGAAACCAAAAAACTAGGAAAGTTTGCTAGTTTGTTGGGCTTGTCTTGGTGAGGGGAATCCTAATCCAAACCGAGGCTTACATAATACACAAGTGATTCTGTAAATGCACAGGAAGGTTATAAAAGAGGTAACAAAAGTTAGGTTTTCTGAAATCAAACGATTAAATATATTTTTCTTAGTAAGATATTAAAAAGTGATTTATATAACGCTGTCAACTATACACTATTTAACGTAGTTGCACGTTTATAAATGACAATACATTGATATATAAGAAGAGCTGACGCGACAAAGTATTTCGCTTAGCTCAGCTGATTGCATGGCCACTTTGTTCGTTTTACTCCACAAGAAGTAAGCGGCTGGGGTAACTTAAGTGAGGTGTGGATCAAATTTTCCTCATTTTATCAAAAGATCGATCCTGAGATCATTTTGAATACATCAGGAGACGTTTCTTCCCTTGGGCCAGCTGTAAAATAGCGTAAAGTTATTTAAATGTAAAGCCACCCATAAAATTTTTGCAATTTACTTGCTTCATTCTATTTTAGACCTGTTTGCATACATTTCAGGTTGCATTAAGACAAATGGGTAATGTGTCCAACCCATGAGAAATCCAGAGCCCACAAGTTTTATGGGATTTGTAAGTTGTAGGTATGCTGATTTATTGCTTCATTGCATTTTCACTGCTTGTGATGGGTTAAAAGAGTGGTTTGATATTTTGATTAACAAAATATTGATTATTTCAGAAACAAAATATGTATGCATGTTATACACATGGTGAACAAGGTTTATTAGATTTTGAAAATTCAGGCCAACGTGTGCTTACTATAGACTAGCACGAAATTCATGCGTTAGCACTCCTCCTACCTTACCCATGGCTCTGTTCATAGGAAAACTGGTTGGCTTTACAGGAGTGTGCGATTTAAGGAGAACAGAAGTAAGACGAAAATTTGGGAGCTCTGGCATCATTGTGGATGCACAAACTTATCTTCATTTCACTCTTTCTGAGGCCTTGAAGTTTGCTTTAATGCATAAGCACAGCATACATAAAAAATCATCAATATTTAGGAGTGTTAACAGATGAATTTCTTGTTAAAGTATAGACCTGATATTCATGTATGTAAACAGTATTTGTTAGTGAAGTCTGGTTTTAATTGTAGATAAATTAATTTGCACACCCTGCATATATCAGTTGAATTTGTTAATGGGGCTTTTGTTCCATATAACTTGTAGGTAAAGAGAGATTAACTATGTTTGATGCTTGAAGAAAAAAAATAAACCAATTATGTCATCCACTGATGAGAGGGATTTCAAGTCCAAAGAGCCCACAGTAATGGAAGAGGATGGAGAAACCAGTCCTCCATGTGATGGCAGGAAAGAAGAGGTAGTGGGAAAGAAAACAGACGTTTTTCATGTGGATTCTACACTTATACATAGCATCCCAGAATCCGAACAAGATGACGAGCTTAAAAACTTGGGAATTGATGTATTTAACCAGGAGGACTTTGAACAAGGTAGCATTGGCATGATTGGAATTACTTTGAATTTCTGTGAGAGAGACATTCAGTATCTGACTTCATTTTTCATGTTGTTTATAATTAAATGATTATTTAACATAAGCGTGGAGAATTATACTTTTGAAGAAAATTTATTTTGAAATGAGTAGTAATCTTAGTTAAATTCATGCTTGAAAATTCTCCCCTTTGCTTTGTGAGATGTTTAAGGTACACTCTCCTCACATATTAAATCATATTAATTTCTGTATTTTTAGATTATATTTATTTCTGTATTTTAAGATATAAAAATAGGTATGATCCACATGATACAAAATGTTTCCTCATCAATTCAATAATCCCATTGGGAGTTGTCATCACTAATACAAAGACTTGTTCTTTTCATCTTAAAGAAAGCAGATTGAAACTTAAATACAAAACTTCCGGATTTAAAAGAGGGGTATAGAACAGATGTGAACATGAAGAGGTGTAATTGTAGGGGTGTTATATTTATATGTTGTTGGTCTACCTCAGGTGTCATGGCCCAGGTGGACCAGGCCATTGCTTCACAGGAAAAACAAAGAATCCAGGCAATGCTGGAGAAGGAGCTTAATTCTGTTGAGGATGATGTGAGGTAGGAATGGGATGGGCTTTTATCTTTGTGGTTTTATGAAAATTTTGCAATTTTGATTTTCAAGACTACTTTATGTTGAACTTTTCTATAAAAACATTTTAACAAATCGTTTTAATATGACAAATTGTAAGATGTTAACATACAGAATGTGATTGGCAGGTCAATCATGTAATTAAATTGCACTCGTTAAAATCAATATCAGTTTCACAAATTCACATATATTTTAATTTGATATATATCTGCTGAGCACATTATCTTAAGTAAAATGCAATGTATATATATATATATATATATATCAATATTTATCAATATTTTATCAGATCAGTCAAGCAAGAACTTGGTCAGATTGAGAAAGTCCATTCGCTCCTAAGGCACCAGACTGGTGTGAGCAAGGAGGTGCAGAAAAGACTGGACTCCTTGCAGAAACAGAAGGATAATAAGGTGAGGGGTGAATTTTTTTTTTTTCATAATTTAAAATTAACTACAACATGTAAGGAAAAAATTAAAAAATGCAAATACAGCTCTAACAGAGTGATTACAACAGCTCTTTCATTTCTATGAGTGAGCTTGCTAAAATTATTTTATTATCATTTGGGTATATTTATAAATCCCTTGTTCTTTATCAGTGTAATATTTTGTGTCTGAAATAAATTACATATCTCCTTGGTGTCCAAATTCAGGGGTCTGATATATATTGAATTACAGACAAAACAACTTAGGAAACTGAAAGCCAGACAAAAAACATTGCACAAAAAGTTATATGGAACTCTAGAAGGTTTGCAAGAAGAAGGTAAGATATTAAATATATGCTTCTCAAAACAATATTCATTAAAATGAGTTAAATATTCTTTTGTATAGGATATTCATGTCACGTGTCTTTTTAATGCAGGAGAAATTTGATGGTCATTGATAACAATTTTGGACCATCTGTTTGGGTGAACTGTTCATTTTTACATCTTTGCAGATGAAGAAGTTGCAGAGGGTCAGTCTGCATTGGAGCAAGCTCTGGGCTTAGGTAAACAAACAGAGACGGAAGAGGAAAAAATGATCAGAACAGGAGAAATGACCCCATTTGGAACTATCATGAAACTTATTGACCATGAGAAATTGAAAGCAGAAACCAAAAAACCTGCATCTTCTGAAACATCAAAAGAGGAACAAACCGCAACAGAGAATGATTTCCGTAGAGACCATGTCAAGAAAAAACACTCCAATTTCTTTGACGAGCACAGTAAAAGGGTCTATCGTACAGAATCGGACTTCAGCAATGTGCCATCTTCCAGAGCACGATACCCAAAACTAGGCCACCATTTTGAAGAAGACCCAGAACTTAGTGGGGAGGAAGATTTCATGGACCACGATTCATTCCAGTCAAGTGGAGATGAATATGTTCCTGATAAAGAGGAGATGAGAGATAGCTACCAGGATGAAGGAACAGAAGAGGATGATCTTATAGATGATTTAGAAGGTGTTTGCTTATCTTATAATAAAAGACTTGGTTTTAGAAAAGCAAGGTGTGCAATAATAATAATTATCTGTTTTTTACTTATTTTCAGATAATCATGATATGTGTTCATATTCTTTATAAGTTGTTTACAAATTATTAAACATTTGTTTTCAAAGAAAAAGAAGACATTTCCAGAACACCTAGTGTCAGAAAACGAAAGATAAAGAAGAAAGCTGGGTTTAGAAAAGTGAAACGACCAAAATATAAAGAAACTTCTGAGGAAGAAAGTGAAGATTCAACACCTGATGAGAGTAGTGTATTTAAGACTAAAAAGCAAAGGAAAACCAAAGATGATGGAGATGAAAGTTATTTTGCTAAAAGGCAAAAGTAAGTGTTATTAAAATATTGAACATTCCATTAAACAATTACACTAAAGAGTTCAGAAGTTATTGCACCAGCAGTTAAAGTTTGCTTTAAAGTTGGCAATCTTTATTTTTTGTAGAAAAAGAAATTTGCTAGAATGATTAATAAGAACCTAAGAAAGGCAAAAGTGACCATTGAGGTGAATTTCTTTTCATTTAGAAAAAACATTTTAAGTTGGTTCACATGGTTTCTGGCATTTAAAACATTATACATTTTCTGAGGTCCTGTGCCTCTGTTTGATTTCATCTCATTCAATATTCACAGGGAATGGAAAAAGAGTGAGCTCTTAAGGAAACAGCTCTTGCTTGAAGATGGAGTTAGCGAGGATGAAGATGGAATAGAGTTTGATGGAGGATTGAAAGTGCCAGGGCAGATATGGAGCAAACTATACAAGTAAGCAATAACATGAATTATTTGAAAAAAAAAACAGAATAGTGTTTACTACGTTCAAATGTAAACTGAAAGCAAAATTCTCCAAATGTAAACGCAATTACTGGACTAATCCACTAATGGTTGTAGGTTTGAAGTAGCTGAAAAGTTGCAGATGAATCAAATTTTGAGATTTTTAAAAATTATTCCAAAACTATAGTTTTTAAACAATCATTTACTGATCTTTTCAGTCTATGTTTTTCAGGATCTAGCACTTTATAAATTAGTATTGAAAATAAGATTATCTGGATGTATTATTAAGTATTTTAATATGTAAGGTACATTTTTTCTGTCCAGAATAATTTATAATTTAGACGTATGTTATTTTCCCTTTGCAGCTATCAGCGGACTGGAGTGAGATGGCTCTGGGAGCTGCACTGCCAAGAGGCTGGGGGGATCATAGGGGATGAGATGGGCCTTGGGAAAACCATTCAAACTATTGCCTTTCTGGCTGCAATGAAGGAAAGTAAACTGAGGAGCAGGTCATCCAGGTAAACAGAAAATTATTTAGTTTTTTTTTTTTTTTTTTTTTTTTTTTTTGTGCAAATAGTGATTGTTGATTTAACTTGTATATAAAAAATCAATCCCTTTCTGTACGTAAATGAGGTTTGTTGCTATTGTGAGGATCTAGAGGTAGTTGCTGCCTTTTTATTTTTTCCCCACAATAAAATGTCTATATATTCTGGAATCTGAATTTTATCAATTGGTTTATGATTGAAAAATGCTTCATAAATTATTTGATTACTATATTTTCAAAACTATGATACATATACACCAAGCTCCAATCACCTGCTCAGTTATGTGTGTTAATTCTATGGAAATTTGCTGGTTCTAGATATATTGGTCTGGGTCCTTTGATCATTGTTTGTCCCACCACTGTGATGCACCAATGGCTGAAAGAGTTCCACAAATGGTGGCCACCCTTCAGAGTGGCCATTCTTCACTCTTCTGGCTCTTATACAACATCAGAGGTAAAGTGGTGTTTTAATACAATTGTCAAAGAAGCACTCAATTCATATATAAAGTATAATAGTTGCCATAACTTGCGAAGTTACCAAATTGATTTTTTATAGGTGGGATTTTCTGTTTCGATGTGAATGATGGCATGCAGAGTTCAAAATATTGTAATACTTGGTCTCACAAATGGCAAGATTTAAGTCTTTTGTTTTCACTTTAAGAGAAAGCATGAACAGAGATGGATGCCTTTATCTTAGCTTTCCTTTTCTTTCAGGCTGAATTGATAAGAGAGACAGTAAGACATAACGGTGTCCTGGTGACATCATACAACAGCATGGTGATCCATCAGGAGAACATCCTGAAACATGACTGGCACTACGCTATACTGGATGAGGGACACAAGATCAGAAATCCAGATGCTCAGATAACCCTGGCATGCAAACAGGTGAATAAATCTGATGCTCAGTTCAGAGGTTATGCCCATATTATTTTGATTCTAAAATTGTCACCTAATGTGCGCTAAATGAATGAAAATAAATGAATGATGTTGTTCAATTTGATGTTTTCTTAACATAGACAATGTTCATTTTGCTTTCCATTTAAAAAATACACCGCCTATCATTTAAACCAGAAAGTTTGTTTTCAAAAAGATATTGTTTATTGATTAGGTAATATTGGATGCTTTAACGGTTAGCGCTGGTATCACAAGCCTAATGCCAGTGAAATTGTAGCCAACCAGTAAAATTTACTTTTGCTCAGTGACTGATCAATAAATTTTTATACCCAAATATTTGAAAGGACAAGTAACCCATGAAGTTTTGGCAGCTGTTAAGTTATGTATATCATTTGTCACATTGATTCCAGATCCGCACTCCTCACAGAATCATCCTATCAGGCTCTCCAATGCAGAACAATCTCAAGGAACTGTGGTCTCTGTTTGACTTTGTGTTTCCAGGAAAGCTGGGTACTCTGCCTGATTTCATGGCACATTTCTCTGTGCCTATTGTACAGGGAGGATACTCCAATGCCTCCCAAATACAGGTAAGGCAGTGGGTAAGGCCATGTTAACCTCTTGCCTTGATTAGACAGGGAAAAGTCATTATTTACAAAACAAAGCAACTTTGTATGGGATTTAGAATTATAAGGAATGTTATGGGCTCCTATATCACCTGGTTATTGGGTGCAGCAGTCAATTTTTGGTGATATGCATTATGATATAAAAAGTGCCCATAGACTCTAAGGCCAGTGTAAGGTTAAATGTCAAGTAAATATCTTTCAGTTTGAAGAAATATCTCAAATTTTAATGCACAGAAGATTCTTGATTTGTTGATGTAGCAAAAGCTTGTGTCATTAAAATGGAAACTTTAAACTGGATTTTATTGAGGTATTTGTTTTTATGAGGTATTTGTTTGTGTAGGTCCAGACTGCTTTCAAGTGTGCCTGTGCCCTGAGGGACACCATCAACCCATATCTGCTGAGAAGGATGAAGGCAGATGTCAAGATAAACTTACCAAACAAGAGTGAACAGGTGAGAAAGGGACCAACATATACTTTATGTGTCCTGCTTGTAACATTTTTACATCTTAAGATGTTGAAAAAAATAAGTAAAGATGTGCCTTTGGTTTACCAGAGGAATTTCTTATTGTGAAAACAAACTTCAAATCATACAGATTTTAACTTAATCGTTGGAGACTTTTTCTGCATAATTTGCAGAGCATAAGTAGAGAAATCCATGGCCCAGAATTAAAGACTTACACATATGAGAAGTTAATTATGTTTGATGATCTATTTTTTTTTCTCCCTAGGTTTTATTCTGTAGACTTACCAGGGAACAGACTGAGGTGTATAAAGAGTATCTGGACTCCAAGGAATGCCAGATGATCTTGTCTGGAAGGTTTATGGTGAGTGGCTCTATGACTGGGTTCCCATGCCTAGATCGATCCATCTGGGTCGACCTAACTCCCTAGGGGTTCACGCTTAATTGCTGTCAGCTTAAGAGGCTTAAATGTGTGTCACGCCTACCGAATCAGCTAGGGGGGTAATTAACTTTCTTGCAAGCTCAGCCACGCCTATAGCAGATAGCAATTTAGTGAGACTCCCCGTGGAGATAGATCGATCCAAATATCTTTGGGAATGGTCCCTTTGTCATCATAGGAAGGAATGCTATTACAAAGAATAACAGATGAACTTGTCTGGAAGGTGAATAATGTCCTATTAAAATCATGTTAACACAGAAGTATAATTTTTCATTTAATTAAGATGAAACATACATGCTGGTATAATATTTAGTATTAACTGTATCCTCACTGAAATATTTTATTTAAGGCATACTGAAACTCACCATGTCCACTTTATCTGTTCTTTTCCATTAGGTATTTCCAGGTCTGATTACACTCAGGAAAATCTGCAACCACCCAGATTTGTCCACAGGTGGACCTAAGATATTCAGACATGACACGGTGGATGACTCTGATGAGTCCTTGGAGTATGGTTACTGGAAAAGATCTGGGAAGATGATTGTTGTCCAGTCGTTGTTGAAGATTTGGAAGAAACAGGGACAAAGAGTGTTATTATTTACACAGAGTAGACAGGTAATTTTTTTTTTTTAGTTATGTTTGTGTCTGTTCCATGACCTTAGGTTATATGTATAATTTTCATTTGATTCATACAATGGGGCTCAATGATAATTTGTCCCTCATATATGTACAGGCATGCAAACACACGCATTGACATTTTTTCCTCTAAATCAGTTTTTTTCAACCATGTAATGCTCTTATAACTTTATTGAATCAGTACATTTTTCATTTAAAAAGTTACTATTCAATCATTAAATTATCAACATTTGTATTTTCTGACAAAAATTGGAAATAATAGAAGAGGACAATTTTCAAATTACAGATGTTAGATGTTCTTGAAACATTTGTCCAAAAACAAGGCTATAACTACTTAAGAATGGATGGAGGAACAGCTATAGGATCAAGGCAGCCACTAGTGGACTATTTCAACAAGGTAATAGGGCATAAGCATAACCCTGTTTATTTTAAGAAAAATTTGTATAACGGTGAGTTTATGTAGGGGTTCAGTGTGATTTTATTACATTAAAATGTATTCTCGAAGGGAAATATCAACTTTTTATATCAAAATGGGGTTGTATAGTGTACATATTTATGACAGACTACTTGGCCATTTCATGCAATGTTTTGATTATTACTGAAAAGATAAGGTGGATCAAAAACAAAAGAGATATAAATCAAGATTATTGAAACATAGATTATACAGTTTTTCAAGATAAGCAGAATATCATCATTTCATAACTGCAGACTCTATTTGAATGCTTCATGACAGAAAACTTGCAGGTTTCTCCTGCATTGCTGAAAAGACATTACACGATTAGAAACAAGAAGATAATGAGCGACCTGAAACACTGCAATTATAAGTTGTTCAGGTGAACACAACTCTGGTAGCCTCAGCCTCAATTCAATCATGTTTGTTTTCATTTCATGCTAAATTAAGGCCAAATCAACTCTATTTTTGAAGCATTTGATGGTGTGCAGTTGACTTTCACCACTCCTCTTTTTCTGATGGAGCACCCAAACATTTTGAGCAGAACTGCAGCTCTTAATCATACTTTTCAAGACTTTCATTAAAATTTGCAGTAGATACCCACTTTCACATAACTTTGAACTAAAATAGCCTTTAATTAAGAATTTCACCTTTATCCTAAGCCAGACAGAGGCCTACCTAAATTGTTTACTTATCTAATTGGTCTCATGAAAAATTTAAGTAATGTCAGAAAGGATATTTGAGATCATACTTCCTTTCATAGTGTGGGTGAACATTCTCTAATTGGATTCATATAAAAACTCATTTTCAGATTGGATATTTTAATTTATTTCTCTTGATAACAAGACGAAGCCAATTCCTGCTTCATCGCTGAATGCAAATGAGTTTTTCATGACAAGCTGTTGAATAGACTTAGAGAATGAACTGGGATAATGCAATTAGAAATATTTTTGGAATATAAGGAGCCCCGAATTTAGTTGAAATTGTAATCACTTCTTTCCCTAATGGATAGCTGTCTATCCAAAAAAATTTATCAAAATTTTGTTAAGAACACTTAAACTAGTTTAAAGGGATGCAAACAAACTGATAACTATACAAACCAGCACTGACAATTATCATGAATATTTTCAAAAAGCAAAATCCATTCTATTCAAATGCATAAGTTTACGACAATGCTCACAAGATACCAGTAATGAAACTAGTACAAATAAGAAGAATAATATTCTAAAATTTATGATTAGAGAATGTCTCAAAAATATTTATCTTAATTTTTATCTTAATCAGTGTTAGAAATTAAGGCTGGACCGTCTGCCCGGGGCAGACAACTTTCAGAATGGGCAGAGAAGTTTTCCCACCCGACAGGCATTCTAGCCAGCTAATTTTCAAGATGGCTGAGCTTTCGGTCCAGCAACTTATTTTCCTAAGAGGCAAACACTGATCTTAATTTTAGAAGTTTATTACGTATTTGAACCTTAGTAACAGTCTGAGATCAGTGATTTATTTGACTCAGTAATTATTATTATTATAATTATAATAATAATATTATTATTATTTTAGTTTAGTTGAGTGTTTACAAATTGCAAAATTTTTCCATTTTTCTTTTTTTGTTATAAGCAAGAGAGTGCATTCTCAAGACATAGTCTGGTAGAGAAGAAATTAACCCCTTGTTTCATAATTACATCCAGCAGAAGGATGTAGAATAAAACTATTTCTTGGAAAATGCACAAAAAGTGAGAGTGAACCCTATTAGAAGCACAGGAAAGTGCATATTGCAGTACTCATTATTACAGCTATTCATATTATAGTGATCATTACAGCTATTCGTAATTACAGTCCCCATCATTACAGCTATTCATCTTTTAGTTCTCATTATTACAGCTATTCTTTTGCATCAGGTTCTTATTTTCATTTGCTATTTTTAGTTTTTTATCTGAGATATTGGTATTTTTTCCATATTTATGGTCTTGAAATAATTGTGTGTGTGTGTCATTTCAAATTGATAGTGTGAAAATAAAATAAAAGAGAACATTTGGGATAACTTTGTCAATTTTTAATTGTTCATGGAGGTAATAGCTTCTACAGATGTGTGTAAGGCGTAGCATATGCTTCCTGTCTAAGGTTTAAGGCTTGTTGCAGTTATATCATGTATTAATTTACTGCAAGGATGGCTTTAGCGGTGTTGGGGGGCATATTTGTTATAAAAACAATTCCTATTTTTACCATGACTAATTTCTCCAATTTTTAAATTCTTTTATCTCTTATTTACCTACCTTCTGAAGGTCTAAATTAACTGTGGCCCTGCTAATCATTCTAGTGTGATTACAATGTTCACAGAGGCTCAGGATTGTTATCTTCTCCTGTGCAGTGTGGATAGTGCAGGAGTGAACTGAAACAGCCTGGTAGCATAATCCAGTATTATACATTTGATTTCAATGCATAACATGATATTTCAATATAACATGCACATTTAATGAATATTTAACTTTTTAAGTTTTGATTAAAAAGTATTTGCTCAAAGTTGAAACTTCTATCCAAATTCATTTCCCCCCCACAAAACAAGGGTTGGTGGTATAATAATATTTAATAATAATAATCAGATCAGGTCAGATCACTCATCATGTTAAGACTATTAAACATATTTTACATTGCATTGTAATTGATATTGTAATTACAGGATATGTCCAAATTCCTGTTCCTGCTTACAACAAGGGTAGGTGGCCTTGGCATCAACCTGGTTGGGGCCAACAGGGTCCTGATATTTGACCCAGACTGGAACCCCAGCACAGATATACAGGCTCGGGAGAGAGCCTGGAGGATAGGACAGCAGAGACAGGTCACCGTATACAGGCTGCTCACCTCAGGGACTATAGAGGAGAAGATATATCACAGGTTGGTCTGGTGAAATGTAGTAGTTAACTCAGAGGAGTGGTGGTATAGGGGGCTAGGGTGGTATGAATGTAGAGGAACAGGTAGTGTATAAAGTGTGGGGTAAGAGAGGTACAGAATACAAATTACTAACCTTGAGGAGCATATGGGGAAGAGGTAGCACATATTGTGGGGTGCAGGACTGACTGTTGGAGAGGGGGAGCTAAGTGATGAGTTAGTGGGAGTGTGCACACTCCCTATTTACATTGGGAACTGTCAAGTGAAAGATTCATCACGTTCAGGGGGAATACAGAATATTGTGTTTAAAGAATTTTTAATAAAGATGGAAGTTTGGTAATTGAATTTCAGAAATTTGTTTTACTTTTTGATCACAGTTAATCTGGTGCCCTAATTTTTTTTTTAAGTTTTCAATAATTAACATTTGTCTTAAAATATTTATTTTATTTATTCTAAAGATTTCCATCTTTTACTACAGGCAAATCTTTAAGCAATTCCTTGCCAATAGGGTCCTGAAGGATCCAAAGCAAAGACGATTCTTCAAAAGCAATGATCTCTATGAACTTTTCACTCTTGGTAACGAGGACCACAAAGAGGGAACAGAAACTAGTGCCATCTTTGCTGGCACAGGGTCAGATGTCAAGGTTGTGGCCAAGAAGAAAGAAGATAAAGAAAAGAAAAATCGCTTTGATGAAATGAAAATTAAGGAAGAAAAGAAAAAGCAAAATAATGAAGAAATTAAGCTGAATGAGAAAAAGCTGGCTAAGATGAGAGAATTGGCCAGAAAATTGAGTAGGCAGATAGTGAGCAAAAGGGTAAACAATATGACAAGCCCTGAGACTTCTGTAAATGTAAACAAAGGTACTGAAATTATCGATGATGAAAAGGATGATTTATATGGCAAAGGACAGGATGAGGCCATGACCAGTGCAATAAGAGAATCTATGCAATCTGATAAGAATGAAGGAGTGACTTTATCAAAGGGGTTTGAGGAAGGAGAAGTGAATGGAGTAAAAGACAGAAAAACAGACTATTGCAAAACCAAGGGAAAATCTGAGTATTCCAAAGAAGAACAGAAACATAATCAAAAGCAAAAACGCAAAAAGAAGCATAAAAAGAAGGATGCAGGTAAGACAGATTTTTACTATTATTTTCATACTCATGTTGGCAAAATTTGGTGAAGAGTTTATAGGCTAGTGAAAACCACCCTCCTTGTGAAATTGGAGGTATAAAACATCCTGGCATTTCTTTCAATATCCTAAATAGTTTACAGATGTATAACCTCTTAATATGTCATTTGATGAGGTTGGTTTAGTTTATAAAATTCAAGTAAAGTAGATTCAGTGAAAGCTCACTGTTACATATAGTCAATTTTTAATGTATATTCTTTCAGTGTTTGAAGGTAAAAGGGTAGCACACCTGGTTGGTATGGACACTTATCAGCATGGAGGAGATAAGACGACAGACACCGACCATAGACAGAAAGATGATTACGTACTGCAGAGGCTCTTCAAAAAATCAGGTTGGGTTTTTTTCATTATGTTAGACATGATTTTTTTTTTGCTTTTATGCTATAAATGGAAATCATACAGATTTTGCAGGTCCGCATGTGTGTGTGGATTTGAAAAACTTATTGTTTTTAACCCAGGGCATATAGTAAAAAGTGCATCTTTTGAAGGTAATTCATTGCTTCTGCAGTTCAACATTTTGTCATTTTAATAAAATCTTATTTATATACCAATTCATTCATATGCATGAATGTACAAAATTAGTTAAAAGACAAATGAACTGTAAACATTCATTTTTTAATTTAATTTTTTTAAATACTTATAAGCATATATACTAAATGACTCAAGCACTGTTAGTGTCACTTTGTGGGATAACAACTCTTCATATGAGATTCAAAATTTCAGAATAAATACATTGTAAACAACACAAAGAAATATTAAAAAATCCATTTTACCATCAAAACAGCAGTTATCACAATATTCTGAAATTTGTGCTTGCCAGTGGACCTGGTGCATCTTCATAGATGGCTATCTTTCTTAATAATCTCTTCAGAGTTTATTACAAAAAGAAAACAGTTTAAAGAAAACAAATCAACTAACTTTAAATTTGGAACAGATTAATTTACCATTGTTTAGTATTGGAAAATCGTCGTTTAACACGAGAAATTTTGTTTTATGGCAATTTTCTTGCCCAAATGAAGAGCTGTTATCCCATTAAGTCAAGGTCGAAAATCCAGATTTCTTGCTATCATCTCTATCCACTTTGTATAATTGACATTGTGTTGTACCCTTGTTCATGCACACAACTTACAACATGTTGATTTTTTTTATTTAATTTTTTGTGTCGTATAGTGCCCAGTTCCAGAGTGATAATTGTGAGCAAACAGGTTTTAGTTGAGCATTGTGTCTTATGTATTCTACTCTCCTATGTTGGTGGTTGAAGGTGGGTTAAAAGTTTAATTTTGGAAGTTTCTTTATGTGCATTATTTTCAGTGTCAGAATTGATCCAGACATACAGTTGGTTGTTTGATGTGATGACCATTTAAACCATTTAAACATTATACATTAACATTTCAACTATAACACAGGCAACTAATAGTCATTTAACCACAAACTAACATATCCTGAAAGTTCTCTTATCCTCCTAACTAGAAAACTGGGCATTCAGAATAATTGGCTCTCAGTAGTAGTTGTATGCTTTATAGCTGTTGTTAGTATAATTTAAAGGAACATTTGATTCACATAAAAGTTGAAATCTGGTTAGTAGTTCCATGAAATTGGACTTGTTCTTGAGGGCATACCTCCTAATGCATCCATTCTCCAAAATCTAATTCTCTTCCCAGACCATGTTTCTATGTTTGACAAGAGGGAAATTTTTTAAGTCTAGTGATGTGATCCCGTTCTTCTGAACTCGTTGACTGATAATTTGGTTTGGCTGAAATTAAGTTTAATTTTATGTTTGTATCACACCTTAACCTACTTTAATTAGCAGATTCAAAGAATATCTCAATACTTAATTTTCTAATTGAAGCAAAACTACTGCATCTGGTGCCAAGAGAGAAATTATCAGTTACTTATACAATAACCTAAATTTTACCAGTCTTCCCTCCCTTTGTTGGCAAAACTAATTACCTTACTTTTTATTTGAGACTAGTCTGTATTCCCAGCCAAATTATTTAGCACATATATTAACAGACTGGCTGCTTTAAGTGCCACACCCTGAGTGTGGGCAAAACTACAGCTTGGCTGAAATATAGTTTGTGGAGACATAACTTAGTACACACTTTTCTCACCATAATACATCCTGCTTTGCACATGGCTAAATATCTCTCTCTCTCAGACTGCGTGTGTGAGTGCATGCGATATGCAGCAGAACAAATAGGTGCCCATGTAGTCTAAATTTAGAATTTGATTACTTAGTGTAATTCACACAATTTTAAAGCTACATTGGATGCACTTACAAAGGACGTAATTGTGTACCCTCTACAAGAGCCACAGATTAATTTTTCACTAGATATTCACAGATATGCCTCTGGTTAATTTCTTGCAATTTTCTATACTTTGACCCAGTGATGGAATCCAATGGTTACAGAGTTGGTCACTTTTTGCATAACTACTCAGACACTGCCACTACTGTGGGACACTCCCCCCCCCCCCCCCCACCCCCACCCCTTAAACATGGAACTTGTTTGCCAGACAGATAAGTGAAGACACATCTTGAAATGAGCATAAAGCAACGAATTACTGGCAGTGCAAAGACAAAAGGTTTTGCTCTCAGCCAAAATTATTGGATTTACTGCTCAGAAATCACATAGGTCCAGTGAGAAGAATGTGTAAAAAAAATTGATGTCATAACTCAGCTGGCCCTTGGGAGATAATAATACTTGACTGTGTGTATTCTGATGACCTGTGTCTGTCTGTATTGTAATGGTTTTGCAGTTTTAAGTTCATTATTAAAATTACTGGCCTTCTGTTTGTATTAAGCTGGTGTATTGTTAGTAGCTGAACTCTTGGCTTGCATTTGGAATGGCCTTGGGGTTATCCTTTTCAGGGACAGATCCAGAGATATTTTCTGATAGTCTTTCAAATTATCTTTCTTGATCCACCCTTCTTTTGTGACAGTCTTCTGACAGGAAAAAATAGATGCCTGTCAATGTAAACTTGAAAAATTTTGACCATCCTCTGGAAGACCCCAAAAGTGGCCTCTATCTCTCCCTGCTTTTCACTTAATGGTAGAGACTCCTTCAAGGCCAACCACTTTCCCTGCCTGTCATGAAGTGGCCATCAAGTATTGCAGTGAACAGTTAAAGGTCGCCCTCTTTTGAGAAAGTATTAATACAAGGCAGGTTCACAGATTCAGACAATATGTAAAGAGAAATGAATAGAAGTAGTTATAAGTAAAGAGTAGTTAAGAATTAGCAGTCAACTAGAGAAAACTAAATTTGAGTTGTGCAGTTTTAAAAACCAAAGTAATCTGCACTGGTGGCAGCAATTTATAAAAATCCCTTTTAAAAATCCCACCAGAAAACCCCAACAGAGAATGCTACAGTATGGTTGCTTTAGCTGCTGGCCACACTGATGCTACCTGACACATTTGTTCACACCATCCTGCCAAATCATGTTGATTGGATTATTATTATTATTATTATTATTATTATTATTATTATTATTATTATTAACTACTGCAGTTTTTTGTAAAATCCCATGGGCCTGAAGCCCTATAATTAAAAGTTGGTGGTGATTATACTTTAAACCATTATGTAATATTGCATCAAATTTGACTAAACTGTCTTGTGCACTCGCTGTAAAAAAGCATGAAATAACAACCTTTCTGGAAAGAGTTCACATGCTTGTTACTTGATAACGTAGTGACTTTCCATGCAGGGCTTCATAGGATATCACCTGAAGCCTCTGATTGCCACCATGTATGTATCTTTTACAAATTAAAAATTGATCTAGAAATTTCAGTAAGTGTAATGGAGGCTGAGAAATAGACAAGGAGAAAAAAACTTGCAGGGAGTCTTTCTGAAGAATGATCTTTCAAGAAAATTAAATGTCATTCTATCTTATCAGAAACATTTGTTGTGGAGTTGAGTATGAAATTAAGAAGCGCTCTGACATTTAGATAGATATGGAAAGCATTGAAGTTGAATGTTTCTGCCAGATAATTGTCTGGGTTTTTTATTTATTAATTAATATATTATTAATATAATTTTTGTATAGTTGTATATAGTTATATAATTCTTCTTGAAATAAAAAGATAAGGTTTCTATTTATAAAATGGAACTGGCAACAGCAGATATTTATTTTCTCCTGGTTATATATACTCCTATTTTTTCACGTGGCACTCCATGTGTTCATTTGAGCTCCAAATAACAGGGGGCTCTTGTATTTGCAGATACCAAACCATCCAAATATAATTACTATACTGACATTTTCTACTCTCACATTTGGGGAATTCTGTGTAAGATTCTTCTATCACCTATGCCAAGGAGGTTTTGTTTTTATTTCTCTTTGTCTGTCTGTCGTTCTGTTTGTTAAAGTATAAACAAAATGGTGGTAAGACAATTTATCCTGGATGCATTTTCTCAAGCATTTTAAATCCACCTACTTGTCTGTCAGAACACAATTGAGCTCTTAATTTTTTTTTTTTTTTTTTTTTGCATCTGTGTAAATTTTTTTCTTTGCAAAAAGAAATCTGTTTTTTAAGGCATTTTTCATGTATTAAACTAGATTCAAGTGGTTTAAATAGTCTTTGTCGCTAAGAGAAATTGCCAGGCTGAAGTTTCTAGTAGACAACATCATTAGAGCCGGAAGTTTAGCAGGTTTGGGCCAAGAACAGAGCACCATGTTTGCTCCGAACAATACAACCATTGCATGTCAGTGAAAATGAAATGTCTAAAAATATAGAAAGAAACAATGTCACGATTACCATCCTTTCTGCACGCATACTTAATTCTATAACAAACTGCTAAATCTGTGAATGAAAAAAAAAACTTTATTTATGAAATGGAGGAAAAAGTGCACAATCTTCAAAAATAATTTTCAGACAAATTAAACAATCTAAAGTATTAGCGGGCCGATTTGCAACAGGTAAAAAAGAATCCAGAAGAATACTGGGGGGGGGGGTACTTTGTCTCCTGATCTGGTCATTTGTAAGGAATCACTGAGAAATCCTCCAGAGACATGACATTACATGATTGTGTGCAGCTCATCTCTAAGGGTTCTAAGCTAATATCATTGAACTTTGGTTTTTTTGTAATGAGTTTCTGAAAGGATCACTACCACTTATTATTGAGAAAAAGATATGATAAACTTATTGAAAACCATGCGACCACTGTCAGATTTTGCTTGTGCAATCTATTTTATTTTTGTAACATCTATAATGAAATTTGAGGGGTCTTTGAAGTGTCTTGGGATCTGATATTTGAAGGGTTTTGGATTACAATTGGATCTATTTCCATTTTGAAGTTTCCACAGTGTGTGGTTATTATTTACAGAGAAATCACACATTTTGAAAGCACATAAAACAACATACTATTAACATTTTGACTTGGATTTTGTTGCATATTTTTTTAATTGAAGTTATTAAGAAGAACCATAATGCAATTGTGAAAGAGATGAAAATTTATGCTTCTTGCCTCAGGCTCCACAAAAAAAAGTTTCCAACAAGTGAAAAAAGAAAAATATATTCACATGGTAATTAACCAAAATGTGTTTTCCTTTGGTACTAGGAGTTCACAGCGTAGTCCAACATGATACTATCATGATGTCTTCCAACCCAGACTATGCACTGGTGGAAGGGGAGGCAGAGAGAGTGGCACGTGAAGCTGTGCGAGCATTGAAGCAGTCCCGTACGCGATGTCTGCCTGCCGTGGCTGGTGTCCCTACATGGACTGGTCAACACGGGGGTGCAGCAGGACCTAGTAGGTAGGTTGTCAGTAATACCAACATGGAATGTCATATGGTTGTTTTTATTCTGCACATTTTTGAGTTTTTTTTTTTTTTTCAGGTGATGTGTTGTTGTGATGCAATGATAAAGATTAATATAAAGACATTAATTATTATTAATATAAAAAAAATGTTGACAGCCTTGAAAAGTCTAAAAGAAATAGATAACTCTGATTCAGTAGAATCAATTTCTATGTTACTGAATGGAGAAGCTTGGAATCTGTTGGATGATGATATATAACAGTTAAGAAAATTTACAGCCCCCAAAATCACACATGAAATTGGTAATAATTTAATGATTAGAAAAATGTTTCCCTTTTCTCCAACTATGAAAATAAACAAAAAATTGTAGTTTCTTTAAGGATTTGTAAGATTACTGAAATATAATTTTGATGGTAATATTTGTACCACCAGCGTTAGCGCTGGCAGTACACATGGTTTCGGTCTCGTCCGGATCGTTCCGCCGGCTCCGCCGGACGGCTACCGTTACCGCTTCTCCTCCTAGACGGTAAGGGCCCCCATACCCATCTCTTGGATTTAGGTCACCTATAATCTCAGCTCGTTCCACGTAAAATTTGGGCTTTGCCGGTATTGGGGTCTGGGTGTGGCATTCATTGCAATGCACCCTTGTCCAAAAATTGCAAAATTAAATGCTAATTATCTACCCTACGGAAGGGGTTATGGGAAAAATTTCTACAGACGGCTTTCCAAAAGTCATATGTGTAGATTTCAAATATGCCCTTGGATTTGAC